CTAGTACGTGGCAACAAACACCTGCTCTCCGTTTCCATGGATTTGCCCATTCTGGACGTTTCTCATAACTGGAACCATACACCACGTGGCCTTTGGGAACCAGCTCCTCTCATGTGGCATGATGTTTTCAAGTGTTGCCACTTGGCTTCGTACCTCATTGCTTTCTATGGCTTTTCATCCCTTGCCCGGATAGAGCATGAGTGTCCATCCTTCCATCCCCTGATGGACGCTGGGGTTGTTTCCGCTCTTGGCTGCTATGAATAATGCTGTTAAGGGCATTTAAGTCCAAGTTTTCGTGTGGCCCTGTGTTCACTGCTTCCATTTCCTGGGGTGGAAGGGTACCTGGAGTGACCGTGTAGTGCTAGGTGTGACATTTGAGGATTGTCAGACTGTTTCCAAAGGGCTGCCCCACCTTACATTCCCGCCAGCAACACCTCATGTCAATTCATCCGTTGCTCACCTGGGAAACCCGCAGTGGGGGCGCCCAGGAGAGAGGATGCTGTCAGCTTATCCATCCCTTTCCCGAGTTATAGTTGTGAGCGCCATAAGCTTCATGAACTGCAACTGTCTGAAGAGCACATTCAGGCCCTTGGAAGATTTATGGTCCTTGCCGAGAGGATGATGCAGCCTGGATCCTTCTGTGGCTCAAGCCCAGCGCCCTGGCTCATGGCTGGGCATGCCGAGGGAGCCACGTGACTCAGGTGCTACAGGGGCCAACCTGCCAGCCTCCCACCTCTGCGGGGGACCCTGGGCTTCCTGGACGGCGCCGGCGGTGGCTCCTGTAGGGGTGCGGGGCGTGAGGCTGTGCAGACGTCCGTCCTGGATGACAGAGCTCCCAGCACAGGCTGTTTCCTCCTGGGCACCAGCCGGATCCCGGGGAGGTGGTCGCCATCTGCGCAGGAGGGGCCGGTGAGCGGATCGCTCCTGACTCTGCGCACTTGGCTTTCCTGCCTCGGAACTGAGGGCCCCGGGAGCAGCGGCGCAGATCTACCTGCCCGGACGGCGACTGGGCATCTGGATGTGACGGCAGGTAATTCAGGCGGGTGGGGGAAGGAGCCCCTCGTGGAGCTGGAAGCTGTGCTTCCTCTGCTGTGGGCAGGATGCGGAACTCGCTCTAACGGGAATGTGCCGGGAGGCTCAGGGAGAAGCAGAGCCAGGGAACCCAGCTGTGCCAGGGCCGTGGCGGTTCGCTGACCCCTGCACGAAGATGCCTGTCGGGCCTGCCTGCTGCACCGTGTCCAGCCGTGGGGTGTCTCACACCCCCGTGTGCTCATTTATTCACCAGGTATGTATTTGGTTCTCACTACACTCTGGGAGCTTTCCAGGCGCCAGCGATGTGGCGATGAGCAGGACACACACAGACAGCTGTCCTTGCAGAGGTCAGAGCCTGCTGGGTGCAGGGGCGGCAAGGAAAAGATTGAGGGGCAGGGGTCGAGGTTCGCAGCGAGAGAGGGTAAGAAGGTTTGTTCGGGGGCATCCAGAGCACCTTCCCTGGGTCCCTCGGGGTCTGGAGGAGCCCATGTTGCTGTGCCTGAAGGAAAGTCAGGAGGGGGCAGGGCAGTGAGGAAAGGGCCTGTCCACTTGGGCCCCTCCCATCCTGTTTTCCTCGAACAACAGGCCACCCCTGGGGCTTTCAGCTCTGGAGCAGCAGGGCCAGACTCATGTTTGAAATGACTGCTCATATTCCCCGTATGAGTGAAAGCATATAATGTTTGTCCTTCTCCGACTGACTTACTTCACTCAGCATAATACCCTCCAGTCCCATCCATGTCAAAGCAAATGGTGGGTATTTGTCGTTTCTAATGGCTGAGTAATATTCCAGTGTATACATAAACCACATCTTCTTTATCCATTCATCTTTCGATGGACACCGAGGCTCCTTCCACAGTTTGGCTATTGTGGACATTGCTGCTAGAAACATCGGGGTGCAGGTGTCCTGGTGTTTCACTGCATCTGTATCTTTGGGGTAAATCCCCAGCAGTGCAATAGCTGTGTCATAGGGCAGATCTATTTTTAACTCTTTGAGGAACCTCCACACAGTTTTCCAGAGTGGCTGCACCAGTTCACATTCCCACCAACAGTGCAAGAGGGCTCCCCTTTCTCCGCATCCTCTCCAACATTTGTGGTTTCCTGTCTTGTTAATTTTCCCCATTCTCACTGGTGTGAGGTGGTATCTTGTGGTTTTGATTTGTATTTCCCTGATGCAAGTGATGTGGAGCATTTTCTCATGTGCTTGTTGAGCATGTCTATGTCTTCTTTGGTGAAATTTCTGTTCACGTCTTTTGCCCATTTCATGATTGGATTGTTTGTTTCTTTGCTGTTGAGTTGAATAAGTTCTTTATAGATCTTGGAAACTAGCCCTTTATCTGATACATCATTTGCAAACATCTTCTCCCATTCTGTAGGTTGTCGTTTAGTTTTGTTGACTGTATCAAAGCTGTGCAAAAGCTTCTTATCTTGATGAAGTCCCAATAGTTCATTTTTGCTTTTGTTTCTTTTGCCTTCGTGGATGGATCTTGCAAGAAGTTACTGTGGCCGAGTTCAAAAAGGGTGTTGCCTGTGTTCTCCTCTAGGATTTTGATGGAATCTTGTCTCACATTTAGATCTTTCATCCATTTCGAGTTTATCTTTGTGTATGGTGTAAGAAAGGAAGGAAAATGAGTGGGGAAAATTAGAGAGGGAGACAAACCATGAGAGACTCCTAACTCTGGGAAACAAAGTGCTGTGGAAGGGGAGGTGGGCGGGAGGATGGGGTGACTGGGTAATGGGCACTGAGGAGGGCACTTGATGGGATGAGCACTGGGTCTTATACTATATGTTAACAAATCAAACTTCAGTAAAAACAAAAAACAAAAAATGAAATGACTTCTCAGGGGACCCCTGGGTAGTGTAGCGGTTGAGCATCTGCCTTCAGCTCAGGACATGATCCTGGGGTCCTGGGATCGAGTCCCACAACAGGTTCCCCTCAGGGAGCCTGCTTCTTCCTCTGCCTGTATCTCTGCCTCTCTCTGTGTCTCTCATGAATAAATAAATAAAATCTTAAAAAAAAAAAAAGAAATGACTGCTCAGGGTGGAGTCAGATGGCTCGAGTGGGTGACAACTTCAGATCCCAGGCAGTGGATTCAAAGCTGAAAATAAGTATTTCTTTCCCTTTCCCACATGGAGTGGCTGGATTTCTCGTGGAGACCGATGTGTCCATGAGGATTGCAATGATGGATACTGGGCCAAGGTTAAATCCAGGGAAAGTGGATAAACATGAGAAGGTGGGGCCCCCAAGGCCCAGGCCCCCCTGCAAGTGTTTCTGATGCCGGCTTGGGCCTGGAGTTTCTGTGGAAACTGAGGAACTGTGTTGTACTGTGGACGCCTGCCAGCTTGCCCAGACCTGTCCCCTTGCTCAGGGCTTTGTGCAAAGACTGTCCCTGCTTAGAAGGTGGAGCGGGTGCCACAGCCGTCAGCTGCCCAGAGCCTCCCCGGGTGTGGTCCCCGGCCCCTGCGTGGCATCATCTCTGCAGACTCCACAGCCCACCTCCGGCCCACTGACTCAGAGCTTTCTTTGTAGGGGGTGGTGGGAGGGTCTCGGGGAATCAGAAGTTTAACCAAGTGCCCCGAGGGATTCTTATACACACTGTATGGGTTTCTGGGGGCTGCTATAACGGATGATCATGAACATGGTGGTGTAAAACAACAGGAGGAAGTTCTGTCACAGTTTTGGAGACCAGAAGTCTGAAATCTGTTTCAGTAGGTGGAAACCCAGGCACCCGCAAGGCCACGCTCCCTGCAGAGGCTCCAGGGGAGCTTGTCTGTGGCTTCCCGCAGGTTCCTGTGGTTGCTGGCATCCATGGCCCATGGCTGTGTTACTCCAGCCTCTGTCCACATGGACGCATCAGCATCTCCTTGTTCTTGTCACATCCTCCTCGACCTGCGTCTCAGGAGGACACTCATGATTGCATTTAGGGTCACGATAACCTCCGTATTTCAGGAGCCTTAATGTAATCTTTTCCGTAAAGATCCTTTTCAACCTTCTCTTTACAGGTTCCAGAGATCAGGTCCCACATTTTTAGGGACGAATTTCCCAGGCTGTCATGTGCACTAAAGTTCAAAAGTCCCCAATATGCTTGCTGATGGCCGCTGCGGGCACAGTGGGAGATGGGTGGAACAGGAGCAGCGACTGGGAGGCATAGACTTCCAGGTATGATGAGTGAGTCTGGGACAGAGGTGCAGCATGAGGACCACAGGCGACAGACTTGTAATAATCATATGTGGCGGCACAGGGTGACCACGTGTGGGAACATGTGTGATGTGCACCCTGGTGGAGTCCGTCCATCAGACCCCTGAAACCCATGTAACATTGTGTGTCAACTATACTTAAACAGTAAAAGTTGAAGGAAAGATCACTGATGGGATCCATGTATTTAGAGAGGACCAGCCTGGGAAATTGGAGCCATGAGAGAAGTGACTAATCCTGGGCCACCTGTCCCTTCTGAGAGCAGAGCCCGTGACCACTGAGCCCCGGGCCTTCCCTCCTGGCCTGTTCCCAGGAGCAGCAGCTGATGCATCACTGCCCAGCCCTGTGAGGTGGGTCCTACTATTATCTTTCATTTTACAGATGAGAAAATTAAGGGGAAGTGAGGTTGAATCACCTGCTCAAAGCAACAGAGCTCATTAGGATGGAGCTGGCCCAGAGACCCAGGCAAGGCCCTTGCTGGGCTCACTTTGGTTTGCTGGGTGATCTCTGGTGTTTCTGACTCCCTAGCACATTTGGAAGTGAACTCGCCTGGAAGGAAAGCAGACCCCCTGCCCGCCGCCAGCCCCTGGCCCTCATCCCACTCAGAGCCACCGCCCCCGTGCTCGTGCCAATCCCTGTCTCAGCTGCAGGCCCTGTCTTCCCATCTCTTCCATCCTGGCGGCTGGGGCCAGGGGCAGGGGAGCAGGCCCAGGGTGGGGATGGCTGTGAGCCCAGCAGGCTTCCACAGGCTGGGCCCTGCGAGGTCCCCAGCCTCCTCATTGTTTGCTGAAGTGCTGAAGGGGAAGGCGGATGAGATTCCTTAGCACCTGGGTACTATTTGCTCCTCCCGTGACTCACTGCCCAGTGGATTAGGCTCCCGGATAAAGGTTTGCCAGTGCTTTCCAGCCCAGTGGCAGGTGTCAGGTGTCAGGTGTCCAAGGGCTCCTCACGCTCTGCCTGCCTGTCTCCTGTCTCCCCTGCGGAGCCCACAGATATGTCAGCCCTGGCGGCCAGAATAGCCAAGCAGCGGGCAGCCGCTGGGGGTCTTGGCTCCCACCAGAAAGCCGTGAAATACCTGGGCCAGGACTTCGAGACACTGAGGCAGCAATGCTTGGATGCGGGGGTCCTATTTAAAGACCCAGAGTTCCCGGCATGCCCGTCAGCCTTGGGCCACAAGGACCTTGGACCACAGTCCCCGCAGACTCAAGGCATCGTCTGGAAGCGGCCCCCGGTAAGCAGACTGGCTGCTGAGTGTCATGCACGATGGGAGTCTTCGATTCTGGTGGCAAATGGTTGAGGGAGAACTCGTGCCTCCAGATCGGAGTTCCTGGGTCCCCCCTTGAAGCTTTTTGAGAGGTGGTGAGAATGGAGGGAAAAGCACCCTGGGCTCTGGAAGGAGGCTAGCAAGGTCTGAGCCGGCTGTGCCTGTGGGGCCATCCTTGCTCAGGTGACCCCTGTGAGCCTCCATTTTCTCATCTGTGAAGGGGTGCTCCAGGCAGGGGTGGAGAACTGTCCTCCCCACACCTCGGCCCATGACCTCCTGCTCCGGGACCCTCGTCACCTGACTTGACCCATGGGATTGGAGCCCCTCTGTGGGGTGGGTATGAGACCAAGAGGATCAGAGGCTCCGCCTGGTGTCCAGCACCACAAAATGAGTCACAAGGGCCCATACTCAGTGGTCTTCTTGACCACGATGGGAAAACCAAGCCCTGGGACCTGTGCCCTCGGTGACTGTGGAAGAGGGAACATTAGGAAATGGGCTCTTTGGATGTGGTCAAAACCACCGGCCAGCTCCAGCTACCTCTGCCCCTTCAGTGTTACACCACTGGAGTGACCCCTATCCCCTGATCCCTGCCCCACCACGGCCTATACTCCTGTCCCCTGAAACCCGTGGTGTGGGCACAATCAAGGCTGGGAATCAGTTTTATATTCTACAAGAATTGGTAGCCACATTTGGTTTGAGTGGATGGGTTTTCAGGCCTGCGTTTTGTGTGGGGTATTGGTTGCACCCTGTTGGGGAGGATGGTTGGGGGACATGGGGAGTGGGTTGTGGTCTCAGCTCTGATGGACACAGAGAGGGGGCAGGCATGTGAATCAAGCAATGACACCCTGGGAAGAAAGGTGGGAGTATTCCACAGGGCCAACCTCAAGCCGTGGCCCTGGGGTGTGGGGAGGATGCACTTTTGAGGAATTGGGGGGCCCCGCGGGGCCTGAGTGGGGGAGACAGGGCTGGGGGCTTCCACCTGGCCCCACTGAGCCCTTGCTCCCTTGTCCCCTTCCTCCCCAGTCTGTCTCTCCTGCTCTTCTTCCTTCCTTTTCTTTCTTCTAATTGTGATAAAATACACATCTTGGGACACTTACCACTTGAACTGGTTGTAAGTGTGCATCGAGAACAGCTACACAGCTGTGTGGCCATCATACCACTACCTCCAGAACATTTTCCATCTTGCAAAACGGAGCCTCTGTTGTCACTAACCACAAGCCCCTGCAGCCCCATCCCCAGCCCTGGTGACCACTGCCCAGCTTCCCGTGCCCAAGAGCGTGGCCACTCCAGGGACCTCATGTGAGTCTCACAGCGTCTTTCTTTTGGTGACTGGTTTGTCTCATTCAGCAGGATGTCCCTGAGCTTCATCCGTGTGGTGGCAGGTGTCATTCCTTTTTAGGGCCAAATACTATTCCTTTGTATGCATACAGCATATTTTAAAAAAATCCATTCGTTAACCGAGGGGTGTTTGGGTTGCTTCCACCATTTGGCTATTGTGGATCACACTTTTATGAATATGGTGCTCAAATATCTCTTTGAGACTATGCTTCCAATTCTTTTGGGTGTATATTTAGGAGTGGAATCGCTGGATCATTTGGTGACTCTGTTTTTGATTTTTTTTTTAAAGAAACAAAATGTCTCTTTTAGTTTCCTTTTATAAAAGTTTTAATTTCCAGGGATCCCTGGGTGGCTCGGCAGTTTAGTGCCTGCCTTCGGCCCAGGGCACGATCCTGGAGTCCTGGGATCGAGTCCCGCGTCGAGCTCCCGGCATGGAGCCTGCTTCTCCCTTCTGTGTCTCTGCCTCTCTCTCTCTCTCTATGTCTATCATAAATAAATAAATAAATCTTTAAAAAAAACTTTTAATTTCCAGTTAACATATCATGTTATACTAATTTCATTAGTTTCACGTGTACAATGTAATCATTCAGCAATGAGCCGGTGCTTGTCACAACAGGTGCACTCCTTCATCCCTGTCACCTGTTTCCCCGTCCCCCCACCCCTCTGGTGACCGGCAGTGTATTCTCTAGAGTTCAGAGTCTGTTCCTTGGTTCCTCTCTCTCTCTCCTACCCCCTTAGTGTGTCTGTTTTGTTTCTTAAATTCCATATGAGTGAGATCATGTGGTATTTGTTCTTCTCTGATTAACTTGTTTCACTTAGCATTATATACTGTAGCTCCATCCAGGTTGTTGCAAATGGCAAGGTTTCATTCTTCCTTATGGTTGAGTAACATTCCACTGAGTATTTATACCACATCTTCTTTATCCATTCATCTATGGATGGACCTTTGGGCGGCTGTAGATAATGCTGCTCTAAACATTGGGATGCATATAACCCTTCGAATCAGTATTTTTGTATCCTTTAGGTAAATTCCCAGCAGTGCAATAGCTGCGTCATAGGGCAGATCTATTTTTAACTTCTTGAGGAAACTCCACACAGTTTTCCAGAGTGCACCAGTTCACATTCCCACCAACAGTGCAAGAGGGCTCCCCTTTCTCCATGTCCTTGCCAACATCTGTTTTTTACTGTGTTGTTGATTTTAGCCATTCTGACAGGTGTGAGGTGGTATCTCATTGTGGTTTTGATTAGTATTTCCCTGGTGATGAGTGATGTTGAGCATTTTTTCATAATCCATTGGCCATCTGCATGTCTTTTTTTTGGAGAATTGTCGTTCGAGCCATGTGCTCTTGTTTAAGTTTGTGTTATTGGCTTTTTTAAATTTCACTTGCTGCATTTGAGGGTGATACCTGACCTGGCTGGACTCCAGGGCTTCACACCAGCTGCTCAGATGTGGTGCTCATGACTCTGCTTCCCCCAAAGGCGTGAACTTTGACCTGTCCTTAGGGGAAGGCATATGGGATTGGCTAAAGTGTGCTCATATATTTTCTGAAATCATAAAATTGCACATCCTGCCCCTTCCAGGTGTTTTTTTTTTTTTTTTTTTTTTTTGCCTGTTTTTAAGCTGCTGAATGGAAGGTGTGCTTGGGCTCTTGTTACGGTTGAAGGCAGGCTTGGCCAGATTGAAGATCTCAGGGTCAAGCTTGGGGTCTCAGGACAAGCTGTTGGCTATTCGTGATTCTAAGGTGATCTTCTCCTAGTGTTGGGCAAGAGCAGCAGCTCTCTGACAGACACCATGTGGCCGGTGAGACTAGGGGAGCTCTCCTCAGAGCTTCCACTCTCCATCCTCGGCTTCCTCCTGGTGCTGGGTCCATGCCCAGCTGGGCCTGGGGTGTGAGGGATGCCCAGCGTGTGTGATGTAGCCCTCAACGATACTCTTGTCTGCCCAGCATCTGGCAGTTGAGCAGTTTACTAATCTCAAGGAGAAATGCAGAGAGGTGAGTGAGGTGATGCCAGCTGCAGAGTAAGAACCCAGGAATTGGCCAGTTTAGGTTAGGGGAGATGTGGAGGGTGTAGCATGGCAAGTTAAGGGACCGGCCTCCTTTTGGGACTGCAGTCCTTCCTCCAGCCGCTGCCTCTGGACTGAGTTTGGGATTCTCAGTTCAGCTGTACTTGTCAGGGCAGTGCGTGTGCAGATGTGGGTGCAGGGGCCCCAGGAGCTCTCTGGCTGGGGGGACACAGCAGGACAGTGGGCAGGCAGCATGTGGTTAAATTGCTGCAAGAGCCAGAAACTAACAAACAGAGCTGAAGGTCACCACCAGATGGCTGGTGAAGTAGCTGGTGGGACATAGAGTGAAATCATGATGCTTGCTCTGTGCTGGGAATGGACGTACTAGACACTCGTGATAAAAATGGATGCACATGTCAATGTGCTTTTACATGAACAATTTCTGGAAGAATATATAGGAAATGTGAACAGTAAGGAATCTGAACACAAGGGATTTCCATGTTACCACATCATTTACTTAAACATTTTTTAAAAACTTACGTGCATATGTGACTTTTTCAACAAAACACAAGTGAATGAGTTTTTCTAATACTTGGAAGAAAAGAAAGGCAGCCCAAAGGAACTGTTCCCGTCCATTTAGGCAGGAGCTAGCAGGTTTGTGCCACTATGGGGTCCACCACTCAGGCACAGCCCAGGGTCCTGGTGCCAGGCACCTCCCTGTGCCCTCTGGTGCACGTGGTCAGCCACACCCAGGGGCCTCTTTGCCCCTCAAGGGCCCATGCTTGGCCCGACAGGCTGCCTGGGTGCTGGGCAGTTGCCCCTGTCCTTTGGGAGCTAAGCTGGAGTCCTCTCTCCTCCAGGGAGCCTCCCAGACATGCCCCCTCTTGGGCATTTCTCATGTTCCCCCTTTGCACTCGTTGCTATGACACCCTGTGAAGGTCAGTCCTGGTTTCCCACGTAGCTGGACGTGCCCGGAGTCTAAGGACTATTCCTTCCTTCCCTTCCCCACCTTGCCCTCCTGCCTGGCTGCCATGTGCAGTGGTGCCGTGTGCGGAGCCGATGCCTGACAAGTCCTGCTGGGGGAATGGGAAAGGAAGTGCCTCACAGGGCCCAGTGGTGCTCTGGGGTGATGCCACCTTGCCAGGCGTGGGTGGAGGAAGTGCAGGTCAGGTGTATGAAAGCACCAACTTGGAGCTCTCCCCCTGGGGGCATCGGCACTGGGGACACCTCAGCGTCTAGGGTCATCTTCATGTTGTTAATGAGGCAGTTAATGAGTGTGCACAGCATTTAAAGTGTGAAACATTGATCAAATCTCTGTGTAAATAGGGGTGTGGGCCTCTGCCTCTACCCTTCTCTCACCACTGTCCACACCCACGCTCCAGGCAGCGTGCACAGTAACAGATGCTAGTGGGCAATGAGGTGGTGGGCTGCGGCCGCTCCTCTGCACCTCTGGACTGCTCCCTTGCCCTGCACCCCTGCCCTGCACCACTGCCCTGCACCCGTGCTCTGCACCCTGGCTGCCCTCCCTTCACTGGGCTGTGGAGTCCTCAGCAGCAGTGTGAGGGGTGCGCAGTAAGAGGCCTGGCCCCACCACAGGCTCAGTTCTGACCGGGAAGTTCCCTGACCCCTGTTACCACCAGTGCTGGGCGTCTTGTGACCTGTGTTTGTCCCACTTGCTTTCAGGAATTGTGTGCCAATCCCCAGTTTATCATTGGTGGAGCCACGCGCACGGACATCTGCCAGGGTAGTCTAGGTGAGTGACCGGGGACGGCCCTATTTGTTGTGGGAGGGGGCAGGAGTGTGTGTGATGAGTAATGTGAGATTAAGCCGTGAGACTTGATGTCACATCTGTGATGTTCCGTGTGGGTCTGTGTTTCTGAGATGGTGCTCCTGGCCTGGGTCTGCGACCCTGGGACTATTACTTCCCTGGGAAGATCTCTGCAGGCCTGCACGAGAGGAAGGGATCAGGGCTGTAGGCTTGCTGTGGACAGCGTGCTGCACTGTGCTCTGATGGTAGTTGTCTGTAGGCGGGCATAATTTGCCCGATGGAGTGGCCACATCTACGTAATTGTGGGCTGTCACCAGAGGTGCTTTTAAATATTTTATTTATTTATTCACGAGAGACAGAGAGAGAGAGAGGCAGAGACACAGGCAGAGGGAGAAGCAGGCTCCATGCAGGGAACCTGATGTGGGACTCGATCCCGGGTCTCTAGGATCAGACCTGAGCCAAAGGCAGACGACGCTCAACCACTGAGCCACCCAGGTGCCCCAAAGATGCTTTTAAAATGGGTAAGAAAACAAGGATCCCATTTTCCAGCTGAGCTCTCCCACAGCGGAGCATCCCTGGAGAAGAGCGACCCCCTGCCAGCCTCCTGCATTCCCTCGCATCAGATGCACCCACACTTAGGGAACCATTTATTCCGCCCTTTTGGTAAGTTCTGATCTCAAGCAGGAGAAGCCGATATTCCGTGAGAGCAGTCAGCACCTGCTCCGACAGGCCTCCTGCCCCCAGGGCTGCTCGGTTTGGGGTCCAGTCCGTGCCAGTCACACGACGCTGACGATGCTGACGCCTTGGAGGTCAGTGTGGCCCCAGTGGAGTTTGCCGGGCTCCCGACCACCATCCAGTGGTGGCGGCAGGGCCGGACCTGCAGACGCAGGCAACTGGGAGCCCATCCTACCTGGTGCAAATCAGCAAAGCACACAAACGCTCAGTATCTACCCAAGCCCGAAAACCCTTTCCTTTCAGGAGGGTCCCCGCCTTTCATTCCTCCTTGTTCCAGCCTAGAAAACCTGTTCTCTTCAGCCTGCTGGAAGCCTTTGTGAAGTCGAAATCCTTGGGCATTTCATTTCAAATGCTTCCCATGTTCTGGCCTGACCGAGTGAGGTGGACGCCCCCTCCCCCGGAGCTTGCCCAGCCTCGGGAGAGTTCGGGGCACCCTCCGTGGGTGTGGGTCCTGGATCCCAAGCCCTTGTGCCATTCAGGCCATTGGGGGCTCACGGGGCACGGGGGCGGCGTCCTGCTCCTTTTCCTTCTGACTTTTAGAGCTAATGCTCAACTCAATTAGCATGTGTCTCGGGGAAACACAGCGTTGAATATACACTTTTCACAGCTTCTTGTTACAGATGTTTTAACTTTGGAAAAGCTGTTTAATAAATGCTTTTTAATTGTTGGCTTGAGTAGAGTTCCCTTGAACAGTTTTAAGCAGGGAGAGAAGAGAGTTTGCAGAGAGGCCGGGGTGTTGCCATGGTGAGTGTGGGCACCCAGGGGCCAGGAAGGGGCCTCCAACTGGCTGGAGGGGAGCAGGGCCGCCAGCAGGTGCCCCGGGCTGAGGGCTCAGCGGGTAGAATGGCGGCTGCCTCTGGGTGTGGGGGGCGGGGGGCAGAGCCACAGCACCTGTGAGTCATCCTGCGGTGGGTGGAGGCCCCAGGGGAGGCTCCCCATCAGACCTGCGGTGCTTGGCACCGCGCGGGAGTCAGGGAGCGCCGCCACCAACAGTGTTCAGTGCTTTAGAATCTGACACCACACAGTGGGGGCCACCGGCTCTAAAACACTTTTCTCCTCCTGCTTACAGTTGGTCTACCATTTTATGACTGTTTTGAAAACACGCTCTTCATGCATTAAAACACCCACAAGGTGTGTTGTGAACAGTCAGCTTCCTACCGGCCTCCCTCTTCTGACTCTCACTACCCCTGACCAGTCTTTTGTCCTTTCAGGAAAATCAAGCAAATCCAAATTCTCATTTTTCCTTTCAGTGCTTCCTTGCATCAGAGGCAGAAAACTGTGGACGCTGCCGGGCACCTCAGTATTGTTTGCTCTTGTTCCTCTTAGCAAGGTACCGTGTGGCTCTTTCTGCAGAGCGCCTGAACTGCTCAGCCCTGCGCTCTGGCCCTCTCCCCTCTGCTAAGGGGCCACTGAGTTAGTTTTCTCTTTGGCTGTTACAGCCCACGTTGCAGGGAGTGCGGTCCTGTGGTTGGGGTGCTGGTCCTCGCTCCTGAGCAACCGCTGCTGCAGTCCTGGCGGCGTCTTCTCCCTCCAGCTCAGCCAGGCCCTTGTCCTGGAGGTGGGAGCCTGCGGCACCCATCAGAGGTCCTGCTCACCTAGAGTCCAGGTGCTGCCTTCCCTGGGAGCCTGAATTCTAGGGAAATCAAGCCTGGGAAGTCTGTAATGCTAAAGATTTGGCTGCTCCAGATAGTCGTGTGGAAATTGTGGATGATGAGTCCCTGTCAGGCTGCTCGGTGTCTATGGGAGGGCGGTGTGATTTTGGCTTCACGCTGGTCACCAAGTGGGCGTATTTTGGCAACCCGCCGCCAAACCCAAGGCGCCTGGGTCGGCAGGGTGGGCATTCGGGAGGGGCACCCCACGGTCCCAGCCTCTCCGAGCTTCGTCTCCCTGGGGGACCCCCAGCGCACCCCACCAGCACGGCTTCCTAGTTGTGAGGACTGTTCAGGGCTCCGTGACAGGGTAACCCGGGTGCCTAATTCCTTCGGGACGTGTCCACAGGTGCCCGTTCCCCACGCATGTTCTTGCCCAGCAGGGCTCTCAGCAGTTCCCTGCTGCTCAGGACCCCACATTCTGTCTCCACCCCGCACACTGGCCATGTGTCCGTCCCCCCATCTCGAGGACTCTGTCCTATGTATGAAGCCCGCGCGTCTAGCTTTGTGGCCCTCATACAGGAAGTCACACCTGCACCTTGGCCAGGACTCCTCTGGTCACTGGAGGTTGAAGTCCAGCCCTGTAGCTGAGGGAGAAAGGGGAACTTTATCAGCTCATCCAAGTAGGCCTGGAAAGGGGGCAGCCTGGTTGTTCCAGGAGCGGAGCTCTGCCTGCTGGTGTCAGCTCTGCTGGTCTTTCGGGGTTGGCCTCCCTCCGTGTTGGACAGTCTCCATACAGCAGGACACGTGATCATCCACGCTCCAGACTTTATTTATCCTGGCGATGTTGGGAAACAACTCTGGTTTCACAAGCTCAGAGAAAGACTCTGGGTCTCTGCTCACTGCTTGGGCTCAGTGACTTCAGGGAAGGCCACGTAGTCGGTCCAGCCTCGGTCCCGGGCTCACTCCCAGGACTGCGCGGCTCCCCCAGCACCAACAGGGGAGAGCTCTGCAAGAAGGGGCAGTGGCAATGGGCAGAAGAATAAGGAAAATACGCCAACGTGAGGAGAGCGTGGAGGGGACTCAGGTCTGCGATCATGCCCTCTGCCCACTCTGGGTCATGTCTGCACTGCCCTGCAGCGTACCGGAAACACCTCCCCAGGGGCCCCTGTTCTATCTCTGGGCCCACCAGCAGCAGCAGTGTTCAGCTCAGTGTCCCAAGTGGAAGGGGCACACATGGGGAGACCTGCCTGTGGCCCCTGGCTCGGTTGTCACAGCTGCCAAATCCTGCTCGCCAGGTGTAGTGATGGGGGGTGCGCTGACCCCGGCTCTGCTCCCAGGCAGCGGGAGCTCCTGTGGTTGGTGGAGGCGGTTAGCGACCCTGGGGTCCTGTGTGCTGTGTGGGGCATCTGTCCCGCACACCCCCGAAATCCAGAGCACCTGGGGCACGGCCGGGCTTGGTGAGCTTTGCCAAGTTCTTGGCGGGTTGCCCTGAACCCTTTGCCTCACGGCATCATGAATCACACATCAACAATGTGCCTTCCGATATCCCGTGTTCTCACCGGCTGTCACGCTCCCGTCGGCCGTGAGCCATGCTGGCTGTCCACCGCACTGGCCGCTGGTTAAAACTGCTCTCTCTGGGGCTGCCTGCCCACGGCCCGTCCGGGGTCCCCGCTGCCCGCCCCCCCCCCCCCGAGTTACACGTCTTCTGGGTCTCCTTGTTCTTAGACACTGTACTCAGATACTGTCCTCAGCCCAAAGCGCCTCGTTGTCCGCCCACCCCCTGGGCATTGTCACCTATGAGCTCGCCTCGCCTCATCTCTACCTCTGAGGCTGGAGGGCGCCCTCACATCTGCGATCCGTGTGGAACATCTGATGCACCTGAAGGATCCCTTCACATATGTGCCCCTGGCAGCCTCAGGACCCCCTGCACTGATCTGGGTGCGCTGCCCCATTTATGATCACATGTCAGGGCATCTGACAACCTGTGCTGACCACCCCAGAGCACTGTTAAGGGCCACCATTGGCCCATGGGGCGGGGAGCACTGCAGCCTCCCCCAGAGCTAGCAGAGAATCTTTGTGTCACCTTTTTATTTCTTTCTCCATTAGACCTGGCTTCTAGACTTTTCTTGTGTTTGGATCCAAAGGATATTGTAAGTAAATGCAGTAAGCGGATGACTTCCTTGAGGCTGGCTCTGAGATGTGTTTACATAAACACCAAAGTTATAGGATGCTCTTTATCTGCAGGTTCGGTCACCTGTGGTCAGCGAGCAGGTGACGATGATCTCAGGGCCAAGGATGCCAGAGGCCAAGTCCAAGCTGGAGCTGCATGTCTCAGGCTGCCAGGTGTCTGTGCTCCTGGGCGGAGCCTGGGGAGAGGGCAGAGGGGTGACACAGAGGAGGCTGGGGCTGTGGTGCAGGGCAGGGAATCCAGTCCAGCTCCTGTCTCTCAGGTTCAGAAGTGTCTAGCTTTGCCTTTGCAGGTGAGCAGGCAAGGGTGAGGGCAGGGATTGGCATGGTTTGGAGGAAAGGAAGAATGGATTATAATCACAGGGCTCAGAGGGCCTGTAGGAGGTCAGGAGGTCACCCGGCACCTACTGGGTGGATACCTAGGAGACTGGGGAACACCTTGCAAAGCACAGGACAGCCTCCCAACCCAGAACTGCACAGCCCGCAGTGCCAGCCAGCTAGTTTGGGAGATTCTGCTGTAGTTGGATTCACTCATGTCACAGGAGCTTCACTAACTAAGGCCGTAGATCCAAGATCCAAATCTGGTTCTGGTCTTACGTGGTACTAATAGATGTCGTGTTCTCTCTCCCTGTTTGCGCCGTCAGTGGCAGAATGGCCAGGTCCTAAGATCTTCTCCTGAGTAATCAAATACTCGTTCTCAAATCCCTTCTGACAATTTCATACTGACGAGGTTTCCTTCAATTAGCATCTCACACTGGGGTCTGGGTCCATGACATGTCTGCAGCCCATGGCCTGCCGCCGGTGACCATCAGTGTGGCCGGCGAGTTAAGAAGGGGAAGCCACAGGTGTGCATGTTTTAACTGCAGCCAGAGGCAGGATGATGCAGGAGGGCAGGGGGACAGGGAGGGTGACACCTGGGATTGCTTGGCACCAACGTCAGAGCTGAACAGTACCTACTTGTGAACCCGGCATCGGGTGCCCACAAACAGCAAAGGTAGATTTTTACAAAACAAGCACTTGTGAGCCGGTCAAAATCTGCATCAGGTTCAGACGTGCAGTCGCACAGCGTTGCCTGCTCCCCGGGACCGCTCTCCACTGGCCACCTGATTCCCACTGACCACGAGTGGGAGGGAAATGCAAGCCAGCCGGCCGGGCCGATTGTAGGTGTTCCTGCTTGTCTCCGCTTTTGGATAAATGTTCCTCATTCGATTGACCTTTTGGGTTGATTTTTTGCTGCTTAAAGACCGGCCCCTCTCCTGCCTCCCCAGGATGGTGCCTGGACACGAGGAAGGCCAGTGGGAGAAGGATGACGCCAGTGGCATGTCTGGCCATCTCAGCTCTGATGCAGTCTGCCCCGAGGGGGTGTCAGACTGGCCCCCATGCCTCCGATGCTGGTCTCTGTTTCTGGGATCACCTGGGTGTACGTGGGAGGGTCCCACAACCCCTCCTTGGGCTCCCAGAGCTCAGAGAAACATCTTTTGCAGGGTTTCTATAAGAGGATGCACTTTGGGGCTAGCCAGGTGGAGGGAGCCAGCACAGGGTGAAGTCTGGGGCAGGGGTGCTGACCTCCCTGAATTTGTGCACCTCCCTGGAAGCTTCCTGAGCCCCCGCCTCTGGGTTTTTAGGAAGCTTCAGGACAGATGCCTAATGGGCGGAATCTTTGGCTGCTGACTATGGGTTCCCAGGTGTGTGAGGGGGAGGGTGGCACTGGGAGATCAGCCCACTCATTCCTGGCTTGTTCCCCTGGCAACCACTTGGGTCACCTAGGGGCTTTCCAGAGCCACCTCGTTAACATAACAAGAGAACCATACTTTCTTCCACTGCCTAGAAACCTGCCTAGGTTTTGGGAGCTCTGAGCCCAGAAACGGGCCCAAGAGCCAGAAAGCATTGTTGTTATAAATCATGGTGTCTGGGGCCGGCTGGTGCCCTTGGTGGGGGTCCTGCTCCCCCTGGGAGGTCTGACTGTGCGGTGTCAGCCCATTCCCCTCCTATAGTCGGGGTCCCGGGGGCTCCCTGGCCTGAGCCTGCAGCTCTGACAGCTCTGGGTGGGATTGACCTGCCCAGTCCCTGCTCCCCATGGGCAGGAGTCCCTGAGGCTATGCCATCTCCCCTCTCCCTGCCCCCAGGCTCTGTGTGGCCACCATCATCCTGCTCCTGGGTCCCCAATGCCAGGCCAGGCACGGATGCCCTCCGCTCTGGCTTCTTTAGCCTCTGCGGCTTTACTACTGTTCCTGCTCCTGCCACTGCTGAGCCTTCCTGAGGGGCTACTTTAGAAGTCCCAGGACCTGACCTTTGCTCCATCCCTGCTTCTTCCCCTGTCTTTCTGCTGGTGGCCCAGAGGCAGCCCCATGTCTCCTTTCCATGTTTGGAAGCACCCACAAGCTAGAGCTTGAGTTCTTGCTACCCAGGTGTTCAACCTTCAGGCTCCGAATTTGACATGTAAAGGGAATTTCTGATGTAGCAATTTTGTCCTAACAAAGCCTGACTCAGGATGACTGTCTCTTGGTGGACTTAAAACCTCTCTGACTGAGCTTCTCACTGCTAGGGTTGGGTATGTTTGGCGTTTACTGGGAGTTCCTGGATGCCATGTGGGCAGGGCCCTAAGGGATCAATATTTAAGTGGAATTTAAAAATCACTTTATTATTTTAATAACTGATTAAACCCGAGTACGGATAAGAAAAACAAAGCTCAACTGGTTCCCCAACTGCCCCTGAGGTCAGTGACCACAGCCCCCCATTCTAGCTCTAATTCACGGCTGGATTTTGCTGGAAGGTGGCCAGTGAGGAGGAACTTACCCATCAAGATTTTCTCTGGTTTTTCCGCCCACCTTATTCACCACCAGAAGCCTTTTTTTTAAAATTTTTATTTATTTATGATAGTCACAGAGAGAGAGAGAGAGGCAGAGACACAGGCAGAGGGAGAAGCAGGCTCCATGCAGGGAGCCTGACGTGGGATTCGATCCCAGGTCTCCAGGATCGCGCCCTGGGCCAAAGGCAGGCGCCAAACCACTGCGCCACCCAGGGATCCCACCAGAAGCCTTTTGTACCCAAACAGCCCCTTGGCTGCTTTTGGAAATTAAAACTAGGGTCAAAGTTCAAAGCTGTGTCCCTCCTGAGAGGAATCCAGCGAATGTGCCACGGGCTTCAAGGCAGGTCCCAAACAAGTTCCTGAAATGTTCTGAGCAGCAGAATAAATGTCTTTCCTCCCACGAGGACTGTTTGGAAGGGAAAATGCTTATTTGGATGTGTTCCGGTCCTGACAGTCCACTCACACCTGATGTGGGCCCTGGCGGAAATCCACACACCTGCGCGTGCAGCCCCTGCTCGAGCCCTGCGCTGGCCACTGGCACCAGGAGGACCTGTGAGAGGTCATAAGTGAGCAGATGAAAAGAAAACTGAACTCTGCCAGCTGGGCAGCCCTGTTTGATGTCAGCAACCCAGGGCCGTGGAGTCTCCGGGGTGCCTTGGATTCTAATGTAATGTCTGCGGAGTATTCGGGGAGGGCTGCTGGAGGCCGCGGAGCCAGCAGCGAGAACGTCCGTGCAGAGGGCACCCTGCGTCAGCGCCCGTGCCTGTGCCAGGGAGCCTTCCCTCATTACCTGCCCGCGCCCTGGATGCTGGCAGAGGAGGGAACTGTCAGGCCCAGCACCTGTCCTCCTGGGCTCCATGGCCCCGCAGGCCAGGGAGACTCAGGAGCAAATGTTCAAGGGGTCACCGGGGGTTTGCACAAGAACAAACCGTAATCTGTCAATTCATTCGGATGCTTGCTTATTTATTTTTATTCATCAGGTGTTCACTGGGCCCCAAGGATATGTCGGCCACCTGCTGGGGACTCTGGACCTGGAGTCCACCTCTGCACTGGTTCTGGAGCCACCGCGGGAGGGGGGTGATGGGTTTTTAGAAGCAGAGAAGGGGAAGGGGAGAGGGGACAGCTGGCACCATAGTGAGAACCTGCCAGTGTGGGGACAGAGGGCTGCCGGGGCCAATGACCGGTGCTAGTGTGCAACCAAGCTTGACTGGAGGGTGGGTTCTCGGTGGGAACGGGATGGAGGAAAGCCAAGACACGGGTGGGATCCATATTATTTTCTTTATCTGCATTCTCCACCCCAGCGATCGGGTGCTTTGGGGTGAAGTGGTCAGTATCCAGGGATGATGCAGGGGCAGAGAACTTCTCATCCTAAAGACAGGATGTTCCCTGAGTGGCAGGAGCCTCCCATGACCTTCCAATGCCGGAGGAACAGGGTCCATCCAACCTGGAAGGGGTTGGACTGAACGGGACGCTGAGGGTCAGACGGGGCAGGGGCCTGTGGCCAGCTGACCAGGGTGTCCCTGTGGCCCGTTGCAGGTGATTGCTGGCTGCTGGCGGCCCTTGCCTCCCTGACCTTGAATCAGGAGCTGCTTCACCGAGTAGTGCCCAGGGGCCAGGACTTCCAGCAGAACTACGCGGGGATCTTTCATTTCCAGGTACTGTGCTCACGGCCCTTGACCCCACAGGCGACCCTTGAATAACGTGGGGGACGGGGTGCAGTCAAAAGTCTGTGTGTCACTTTGGACTCCCCCAGGTCTTCACTGCTGACAGCCAGCAGCTGGCCAGGGCCTCCCTAAGAACACAAACAGTCCATTAGCACGGATTTTGTATGTCACGTGTACCATACTCTGTGTTCTTAGAATAAAGTAGCTCAGGGATCCCTGGGTGGCTCAGCGGTTTAGCTCCTGCCTTTGGCCCAGGGCGTGATCCAGGAGACCCAGGATCGAGTCCCACATCGGGCTTCCTGCGTGGAGCCTGCTTCTCCCTCTGCCTGTGTCTCTGTGTCTCTCATGAATAAATAAATAAAATCTTAAAAAAAAAAAAAGAATTAAGTAGCTCAGAGAAAATCAAATGTCATGAAGAAAATCATAAGGAAGAGAACACACACTTTTCAGGACTGAGCTGTATTTATTGAAACCAGTGTGTGTATCAGCTGGCCCTTGCTGTTGAGACCCAGGTCATTCAAGGGTCCTTTCCATTCCCTTGGGTCCCACCCACAGCCACAGGATCAGAGACGCAGTAGCCCATGTTCCCACTGTCCTCCCAGGGATCCTGGTGCTCCCTCGGTCTGAGAACCACCGCCCCCACGCATCCTGCCCTCCCTAGCCGTGTGGCCTTGATGAGGAAAGCCCCTTTGGGGTGAGGGCCCTGAGGCGTCACCCGCTGTGCCGTGTGGGCAAGTTTGCTTTTCCACAGACTCTCAGGCTGGATGTCATGTTTCCTGTGTCCTCTGGCCTCTGCTATGAGCGTGGTTGGGATGTGATCCTGTCCCCAGGAGCTCGGAGCTCGTCGAGGTCCTCACTTGCACGTCCATCTGCCCAGTGCTTTCTGAGGGGACCTTGCCCTGTGTTTGTGCACCCACAGTTCTGGCAGTACGGCGAGTGGGTGGAGGTGGTGGTGGACGACAGGCTGCCCAGCAAGGATGGGGAGCTGCTCTTCCTGCACTCGGAGACAGGCAATGAGTTCTGGGGAGCTCTGCTGGAGAAGGCCTACGCCAAGTAAGTACGTGGTTTGGAGCTGAAGCCCCCGTCTCCCCGGTGGACCGCACCTGCTCTGTGCCAAGTCGCTCCAGCACCCAGACCCAGAGGCCAAGAGCTCAGAGCTCGGCTCTGCCCCCGGAGGGGGTTAAGGGGGCAAACCCTGCAGCTGCTTGCTGCCTCTGCTGTCTCTTCATACAGACCCCAATGTCAGAATGATGAAGAGGAAGGGCACGGGTGCACTTCCATGGGGATGCCCTACGCAGTGCTCATCCCCCTTCCTGCTGGCCAGAAGACTTCTCTTGGGTTCTCCTGATGCGTGCCACTCACCCTGTCTTGCAACCCCATTCCTCCCCAGCCCTCTTCCTGGAGCAAGCCCTGGGCACTCTCAGCCTTGATGGAGGGGCCCCCCATCCCTGCCCGTGCTCCTAGTCACCAGGAGCCCAAGAAGCCAGGGTCAGCACTGCGAAGGCTGCACTTGGCTTCTTCCAGGACTGGGTGGGGGTGGGTGGTTTGGTGCAAAGTGGCCTGAGATTCGTTCCTGCAAACTGCCTGGAGCACCCTGCTGGCCTAACACAAAACGGGCAAAGCACCCTCTCTTCCCTTCCAGCCCACGTGGTCCCCTCGCTGGTGGATGATTCACTCTTCTTTCTCTTCCCACAGGCTCAATGGTTCCTATGAGGCTCTCACTGGAGGGTCTATGGTCGAGGGGTTTGAGGACCTCACGGGAGGCATCTCTGAGTATTACAACCTGAAGAAGCCTCCGGCCCGCCTGTTCCAGATCATCCAGAAGGCCCTCCGCGCGGGCTCTCTGCTGGCCTGCTCCATCGATGTGAGCCAGCTTGGCGTCTCTGCTTCCCGGTTTGGCAGGGAGGGGGTCAGAGCAGTGTCTGGGGCTGAATGGGCGGGTCTTACTAGTGGGAGGAAGGGGGGGCAGGCTTACTGTGGGAGCCCCAGCCTCCCTGGCTGGATCCCAGGCCCCACCTCCCACCTCCGCTGTCCCCTGTCTGCTTAGTAACTGTTGGGCTTTGGGAAACAGATATTTGAGGGGCATGCACACCTGATGGGCTGTGAGATCCTGGAGGCAGAGGGCAGTGGTGCTGGAACCAGGGTGCGTGTCCTCCCAGGGGGGCTGGCCTGGGGAAGTGTGGACACTGGAGCTTGCCTGTGGTCCCGCCCTTCTCCTGCCCTGACCCAGTGGTCTGGGACACACGACCTGCAAGATCTCCGCCTAAGTGTGTGTTTGCTGGAGAGATGATTCGGGGCCCAGAGAGAGGCCAGCAGAAGAAGACTCAGGGAGGCCCACTCAGTGCAGACTCTGGAGAAGCAGCCTGGGCTGGAGCAGCCGGCTTGGATAGTTGGTCTTCAGGCAGCACGGGGTCACTCTGGGAGAGTAGGTGACACCTCCAATTTGTGGTGGCACTTAAAGCCTGAAGCCATGCTCCAGACCTGGCAGCCACACGGTACCTGCCTGGAGCTGCAGGCCTGCTCAGAGGGGCTGTATGGGGTGGTCAAGGCCACACCTGCACCCCAGGGCTGCATGGGGGCCTGTCCTCGGAAAGCACCATAGGCCAGCCCTGACGGGGTTAGAGTCAGGGTCAGGGTCGGGATTGTGGTCAGGGTCGGGGTCGTGGTCAGAACTGGGGTTGGGGTCAGGGTTGGGATTGGGGTCAGGGTCATGGTCAGAGTTGGGGTTGGGATCAGGGTAGGGTTGCGGTCAGTGTCAGGGTCGTGGTCAGAGCTGGGGTCAGGGTCAGGGTTGGTATTGGGGTCAGGGTCAAGGTTGTGGTCAGAGTTGGGGTTGGGATCAGGGTCAGGGTCATGGTCAGTGTTGGGGTCGTGGTCAGGGTTGGGGTAGGAGTCAGGGTTGGGGTCAGCCAGTATCAGTGGACTTCATTCCCAATCAGGTCTCCAGTGCAGCTGAAGCAGGAGCAGAGGTCACCACCCACCACAAGCTGGTGAAAAGCCATGCATACTCTGTCACTGGAGTCATAGAGGTAAACCGGGCAGGGGAGGTGAAGGGGTAGGTCACCCCTGACAGCTTCCCTGCCCGCTAAGGCCCCTCTCTGGTTGCCCCTGATGCTACCCACGCAGGGGTTACTCTTGCTCGTTGTAACCTTCTGACTCGCACCCACTCATAGACTGATAACGCAGCCTGTCTGAGTGTCAACCCTGTGGGCTCCAGTGAGATGCAGGCCCCCTCTGAGGTGTGGCTGTGGGGCGGGAGGAAGGTGTCAGGGAAAGTTGTAGAGATTGTCAGATTCGCTCTTCCTTCTAAGATGTGTATGTGCATCCCAGCAAAGCAATGGGAACCCGAAGGACCCCCAAGGGGACAAAGGATGGGGTACAATAGTGGGAAGGAATGACAGCATTCCATACTCTCCAGCCCCAGCAGAAAGCATGGGCCATGGCTTTCAGTATTTTTATTTACTATATTCTGCCCCTTTGAAAAAGAAGTTGCAGTAACTTACAGAGAAGAGCCAGACACAATCAAAGCATACCATGCGGGTAAAATACACCAGACAATCCAGGAGCAAGGCGGTGCTACTGTTGAAAAATGAATTTTGCTTTGGGTTTCCCAATGGCCAAGGCAAAAAGGGAAATGCGATGGGATCTCAGTTTTTGTTACATGTTAAAATGGCACGGATGTTAAAATGGTTCATGCGTTTGTGTTTTGCAAACATGCTTTTTAGTGCAGTTTCCAAGTGCATGTGTGTGTAAGCGTGGGTATGATGGACGACCAAAGGGAAGTAGGACACCTGGCATTCATTGTGTGTGTGGGTGTGTGAAGGGTGAGAGCACCGTGCTCTAGTGAGCATTCAGTAAATAGCAGGGGAAGGTGTGGGTTTCCAAGTGTGGGCTTTGCAGATGGCTGCCTGGGGGCCCATCTCCCCTCTATGACTTACTGGCCTTGGGTGACGTCCCACTTCTGACTCTAGGATTTCTTTCCTCCTCCCTCTTCCCTTCTTCTTTCTTCTTTCTTCTTCTTCTTCTTCTTCTTCTTCTTCTTCTTCTTCTTCTTCTTCCTTCTTCTTCTTCTTCTTCTTCTTCTTCTTCTTCTTCTTCTTCTTCTTCTTCTTCTTCTTCTTCTTCTCCTCCTCCTCCTCCTCCTCCTCCTTCTTTTTCTTCTTCTTCAGATTTTATTTATTTATTCATGAGAGGGATCCCTGGGTGGCGCAGAGGTTTGGCGCCTGCCTTTGGCCCAGGGCGCGATCCTGGAGACCCGGGATCGAGTCCCACGTCGGGCTCCCGGTGCATGGAGCCTGCTTCTTCCTCTGCCTGTGTCTCTGCCTCTCTCTCTCTCTCTCTCTCTCTCTCTGTGACTATCATAAATAAATAAAAAAAATTTATTCATGAGAGACAGAGAGAGAGAGGCAGAGACACAGGCAGAGGGAGAAGCAGGCTCCATGCAGGGAGCCCAATGTGGGACCCAGAGATCACAACCTGAGCTGAAGGCAGACACTCAATGGCTGAGTCACCCAGGTGCCTCTGACTCTAGGATTTCTGAGCCATAGAATAGTGACAGCACTCAGCTCCTAGGACCCCCAAGAGTTTGGAGTGAGGCGACAGTGCGTTTGAAACACTTCACGCCATGTCTTGTCCAGAGCGCGTGCTCAGTGCACATGGACCCCTGTGTGCTCTTGGCGATTGTTTGGAAGGCATTTATTACCATTAAGTCTCCTGTAAAAGAGCCCAGTCAGTCTTGGGCAAATGTAACGTCTAAATGCAAGTTAAAGTTGACACAAACTTGTTTGTGAGCTGGACCCACTGTTCATTCAACCCAATTGTGGAAAATAAAGCAGTTAGCCATGTCTGGAAAACATGTGTTAAAATAAAGGTTTGCTTGTGAAAATAAATAAATAAATAAATAAATGGAAAGAAAGAAAGAAAGAAAGGTGTGCTTGTTTGGGGACATTTGACATGTTGAGTGCAAGCCCTCTGGGGGCAGACCCGGGCATGGGGCAGCGGGGCCCCAGCGGCTCAGGTCATTTCCCATGTGGACCTTGCAGGTGGATTTCCGGGGCCGTCCCGAGAAGCTGATCAGACTCCGGAATCCATGGGGCGAAGTGGAGTGGACCGGGGCCTGGAGTGACGAGTAGGTTCTGCTTCCCTGTCCTTACCTCCCCCGGTGGAAAGACATCTTGCCGCAAAGCACAGTCCTCATGAGGCCGATGGCACAGCCAGCGTGGCAGCACTTTCTGTGCACAGCCTGTTCCAGAAGGAGTATTGCGTGGCTGCAGCTGAGAAAAGCAAAGCGGCACCATGTAGCTGGAGCCTTTGCTTCTGGGTCTCTGCTCGGCGTGTACAGATTTGGCAGCTCAGTCACTGAAAGGTTTGCCTGTGTCCCACCTGCCACACCATGCTGACCCCAACGGGAGGCCGGACCCGCACGATCGGGTGCCTCCTTCTGCACAGACCCTGTCCTCTCTGACAAAGGCCATGCCCCCCAGCTCCGAGCTTAGGAAGTGGGATCCAACCCCAGAGCCCAGCGGGCAGTAGCAGGCAGGCAGTGTCACTTGCTCATGAGGGGGCAGGTGTGGCTCTTTCCTGATGAGGTCACGGAGAGCCAGGCCTCCCGCCATGGAGGAAGAGTCACTGGAAGTGGAGAGAAGCCCCTCTTGCTCTGTTTTCAACCTTGCAGGAGTCTCCCTGTGCTGCCCGTACCCCGTGATGGCAGGAGGGCTCTTGGAGGGGGCTTTGTCTCGTGCACCCACACTGCCCATCACTGCCCATACCTGTGTGCTTCCCTTCAGGGGTGTGCCACAGACAAATGTGTGTCTAGGGCTGCAGATGCTGATTCTGCTGCCTAAGTTTGAGCAAAACCCAAGACTTCCATCCTGCCAAGTGCCCAGAAAGGATGTCCCAGGTGAATGGAATCAACAGTCTGAGTTTCAGCCATTTTAGCTGACAGCTGTTTAGCAAGCTGCCCAGAGGGCTTCTGTGGCCCTGTCTCCTTCCCTGATGCCCCCTCTAAGAGGCTGGGACAGATGTGAGGGGCAGGCGGTGGCGGGAGAGGACCACGTTCCAGCATCTGGAGACACAACCTAGGCCGTATCTAGAGCAGCCGGTGGGGCAGGAGGACTCTGACCCTCTGAGCCACACACCCGAATCACCTTAATATCCAGTTAAATTAAACCACTTAATTTCTGTTTTAGTTTCAAAAATCCAACTGGGAGATTTAGGTCAGATCCAGAATTCTCCAACTTGTCCCTACCCTTTGTTTATAACATGCACCATCTGAGATTTGGGTCTGATGGATTAATGTTTCTATGAGGTGAAGGGGTCCTGGGTGCTTCCCTGCATGACCCCTGGGTTCCGAGCACCTGGGCTTCCATGCAGGGAGGGGAGGGGCTCACGTTTTGCTGAAGGCATCCAAGGAAGGGGCTGTTTTTTTTTTTTTAAAGATTTAATTTATTTATTCATGAGAGACAGAGAGAGAGAGAGAGGCAGAGACACAGGCAGAGGGAGAAGCAGGCTCCATGCAGGGAGCCTGATATGGGACTTGATCCCAGGTCTCCAGGATCACGCCCTGGACTGAAGGCAGCACTAACCCTCTGAGCCACCAGGGCTGCCCAGGGGCTGGTTTTTTAAGATGGGTCTTGATACTGCTCAGTTCCTAGACTTGCACACATACTTTAAGAAACCTTGATTGGTAAAGGTCAGGTACTGGAGATGGTGTTTGAATGAAGTAGTGAGTATTGCCACAGAAAGGCCACCAGTGGGAGGGCTCATGGGTGACATGCCTTGAGGGACATTGCCACCCGACTGGGCCTGAATGCCACTGTCGGTGGCTCGGGACGTGGATGGTGTGTACGTGCCCAGAACGACAACCTGCTGGTGGACGTGCCCATGGGCTACCTGCCCGTGCCCCTGACAGGCACTCTCATGCCTCCAGTCTTGGACTCTGGCCCTGTCATCAGGGCCTTGGTATCTATTAGAAATGGAAGGTTCTTCGGGAGTGAAATTAAGGCAAATCCCTGCTGCACTGCTGGAGTCCATGTCCTTGGGCTGCGTCCCTCCCCGGGCGCAGGGTGGGGTGGGTGCCACCCACCCCATTCATTTGACCTACCCCTGCCCACTGGGGTTTGGCTCCTATCCATCTCTGGCCCTCAGGGACGTCTAGCTGCCCTAAGCAGCAGGGACTGCAGCAAAACTTTCACGGATGGCTGTCTCTGCCTTGCTTTTTAAAAATTTTAGTTTTATGCTTTCCCCCAGTGCACCAGAGTGGAACGACATAGACCCCAGGCAGAAGGAGGAGCTGGACCGGAGAGCCGAGGACGGGGAGTTCTGGTGAGCGTGGTCTGCGGGGGCTGGACTTCACAGTCCGACAGGGGGATCGGGAACTCGAAGACGTGATTCCCACTAGGGGCTTCCCTTCTTCCCCCTTTTGCCCTGTGTGGTCCGACTTCTGGGCCTGCGTGTCCGAAGCATTGCCACCGTGCCATCTGGGTTCCATCGAGGCAGAGAGCACTACTGACCTCTCTCTGAGTTGGGCTTAGCCCCGAGACAGGGTGACTTCCTTCACTGCTGAGTTAAGGCAGATAACAGGGACGCCCCTTGGACAGGGCGTGGTGGTAGGACATCTCTGCTGGGCTGAGTTAAATGGGAGGATGCCTCTGCAGGCTCTGAGGTGCCCAACCCCAGGGGCAGGGCCATTTATGGCTTGGTCCCTGTGCCGGTCATTAGATGTGTGATGGGGGCTCTGATAAAACGGAGACTCCACAGTGGCTGGGGATGTGGACAGCGGCCTTGCAGCCTTTGCTCTGTCCAGGGCCAGCAGGTATACCCCCCTCTCCCATAGTCCTGGCCTGCAGACCCATAGCCCTCTGGTCCCTCTGCCCCCAGGATGTCATTTTTGGATTTCCTGGGCCAGTTCTCTCGGCTGGAGATCTGCAACTTGTCCCCAGACTCCCTGAGCAGTGAGGAGCTGCACAAATGGAACCTGGTTCTGTTCAACGGCCGCTGGACACGGGGCTCCAGTGCTGGGGGCTGTGCGAACTTTCCAGGTAAGGTGGGGGGGGAGCAGGTAGCTGGGGCTCACCTGCCTTACCTGCTCGAACTTCCCAGGTGAGGTATTGCCCGGCTTGGGGGGAGGCCAGGGCAGCAGGGGGCAGAGGCTGCAGCCCCCCACCTGAGGCCTGAGCTCAGCTAACAGCATTCTGTAGCTTCTGTGCATTCAGGTGTCCACACTCCCCCCACCTGTCCCTGCCCCCAAAGATGTACTTCCTCTACTAGGCCTGCTCCTTTCTTGGGCTTCTCCCGGTCCCTGGTGGACACGGGTTCCCCTGAGCTCCAGCCTCTCTGCTGCCTCAGTAGAGCGCATCCAGCCAGAGAGTGCTGTCGGGAGTGGGGATGGAGTGGGGGCCTGGCTGGCTAGCCCCGCTGTCACAGGAGCTCCACGACCATGAGGACAGTCTGGCACAACCGTGGCCTCTGCATTGGCGTGGCCATTGGCCTGCGCAAGGGCCTCGCTGCGGGTGGGGCGTCCTCCTGGGTTCATCTGCCAGCACGGATACGTCTGCACACAGGCTCCTCCTAGGTCGCAGCAGGCCAAGGCGGCGGGAGGAAGACTCTGACCGACCCCACCTCTAAGGAGAAAGGAAGGAAACCGAAGCCCACCCCTCTCCCCTTCCCCTTCCCCCAGCTGCCCAGCCCTCACCCTCCCTCTCTGATGCTGCTGGTTTAGACTGTACAGGCTCCAGACAGAGGAGCTCGGAGCTCTGCAGGGCTGTGCTCGGCCATAATAAAATCCCACACAGACGCAGGCCTGGGTCCTGACCACCGTGTCTTCCTTCGTCCCCGGTCCAGCCCAAAGCTGTACTCCCGGGGGCAGCGGGAGTGTGGGCCGCTTGCTGGGCTGCACAGCAGGGGCCCTGGGAGCGTCCTTTCCCTCCTCTCAGCTATTTCTTGATCCTCCTGATGCGCTGTTAGTACCCACCGCGGAAGGCGCTTTGTAAACCGGTGGTGTTCTCTACAAATGGGGTGTATTATTTTTATGGCTCATTCTCTTCTTCCTTTTCTGTGAAGGAGTAAACAAAAAATGTAGAGGTTGCAGTGTAGTTGCATTTGGGAGAAATTAAAATATGCTCGCCATTAGCGAGCTCTTAGAAAATGGGCAGGAATGTGCCTGAATGGCTTTGAGAGCCCGGAGCTGTCAGGGGCGCCTGAGGCGTCCGCGCAGAATCACCATCACTACCCAACCTGAGCGGACAGCGGTCTGCCGGTCTGTCTGTGGGAAGACCGACTCTTCCTGCCCTCTGGTGATGATGGCAGTGTGCAAAATCCCAGAGCGCGTCCGTCTCCTCTGGAAGCTCTGGAGACTGACCTTAGGAGCCACACACCTGTGCCCTCAACAAACGAGCTGCACGTGGACATTCTGGGAAGGTGGGATTGAAGTCATATTATCGTGAACAGCCAGGGCTTCGTGGTCACTTGTGCATGGCTCATTATCTCATCGAGCTTCTCTTATGTAGTGGATACGAGGACCCCCCACCCTGGTCTGTCCCCCCCAACCAGGGCACATCAGGATTGAATTCTTGAGGCCCCTCGTGCAGACGCCTGCCAGACTTGTCTTCAGTTATGCTCTGCTGCTTGACTGCTAGAGGGGCCGTGTGCCCTCGAGTGACCCATTTGATCTCTGTGTGCCTTGGCTTATGTAGAAGGAGTTTTAAAAAGTCATCTTTGCTGTTTTGAGGGAGTTTTAAAAAGTTATCTTTGCAGGGAAGCGGTCTTTTAAAATACCTGTAGGTGGTATGGCAGGTATGCTTCTTAATCGCCATTCTCCCTCCTGCATACTCAGTGACTTACTCTGAGGGAGTGTGTCTTCATGCGGTGGTCATCTGGGGAGGCCCTTGGCCGAGGGACCGAGGGTCATGCCCAGGGCTGCTTTGGGCCGTGATCTGTGAGGGGACAGACATCCACCAGACAGGCTGTCCATATAGCCTGTCAGCAGAGGCCTCCAAGGACGTGACTCCCCACCCCGAGACCTCCCTTCCTCCCCAAGGGGGGGGGTCGCCTTTCACGGGCCAACACTAAGAACAGGGGCTGTTAACCATGTCCCCCAGGAGACCCAGGGGTTAGTTATGAGAGCCCCAGGGAAGCCCTAGGGCCATCAAACCTTGGATATTCCCAGTCAAGCTTGTCCAGGCCCTCGTGAGCAGATGGACCCATGCAAAGTTTCTGGAAGCTGTGGGATGTATCTGGTGGTGTGGGGGCAGGGGCAGGACCCAGCCCGACCACCCTGTAGAGGAAACTCACTAAGGCCTGCTTCCTGCTAGCTGTGTGTTCTCTGGTATGACCAAGGTTCTTCCCTTGTGTTCCTCCTGCCTCCTCGCCCCTATTGGGAAACCACCATCTCCCGGCGACCTCCAGCCACTTACTGGACCAATCCCCAGTTCAAAATCCATCTGGACGAGGTGGACGACAGCCAGGAGGGATGTGTTAGCAAACCCCACTGCACGGTTCTGCTGGGTCTGATGCAGAAGAATTGCAGGCGATGGAAGAGTACAGGACAGGGCATGCTCAGCATTGGCTATGCTGTCTACAAGGTACTTGGAGCTGGGTCACCCGTCATTTCACACCAGATGTCTTTGGCTGGAGTGTGTTGGCCAGTAATCAGGGTGTATCTCTCCTATCACTTGAACCTTCCTCCTCTTGCTGCCCTAAATGCCACTCCCAATGGCCTTCCCAAGGCCTGAATTCCACCTTTAGAGGTTCATTCCTCTGCTTATATCTGTGCTGTTAACATTCAGTTTTGCAATTCCTTAAAACTTGCCTGTCATTGAGGGCTCAGTGTTAATGCACTTACTCAACTTTCAAGTATTGGCATCTTAGGGGACAGGAGCCAAGATTATGGGGCACAAGGCATTCGAGTGGGGAAGGGAGGCTGTGTATGGGGGGCCAGAGACAGTCCTTTCTTCTCACACTGGGCAACCTTGAGACTCTCCCTGGGACACATGGGCATGGCTGGGGTGAGGGGAGTCACACGGCTGACTTCGGTTCTGGTGGCTCTGGGTGGGGGACCTCAGCTCTGGCCCAGGCTGCGGTGCACACGGGCCATGACCCCTGTACGACTCCACAGCCTCACAGATGGGTTAAAGCAAGGCTTTGGGGGAGTGAGAAACCTCACCAGGAGCCAATTGTAGTCCCCATTTTTATATAGGCAAAGACTCCTTATAACAAATTTCGGAGGGGATTGTGGTGGTTGTTTTCATGTAATTTTGTTAAGAGAGAATTTCTTGATGAAAAGACAATTTTAATGAGGCAGAATGAGAGCTGGCTGGAGGCCCGACCCCTGGGGACAAATCAATGCTTGGAAGAGAGGCATTGGCGTAAGCTGCCGATCACCAAGCTCATACAACCTCCGGCCCATTTTTTCCCTACTGTCCTAGAACTTAGGGCTTTTGAGTCCAGGTTGTGATGTGTGTGTGTCTTTTGTGGTGGAAGAAGGCACGACGAAAAATAATTGGTGGCTTGATGGCAGGAGAAAAGATTTTCTTTTTTTAAATTTTTTTTTAATTTATTTATTTATGATAGTCACACACAGAGAGAGAGAGAGGCAGAGACATAGGCAGAGCAGGCTCCATGCACCGGGAGCCCGATATGGGATTTGATCCCGGGTCTCCAGGATCGCGCCCTGGGCCAAAGGCAGGTGCCAAACCGCTGCGCCACCCAGGGATCCCCAGGAGAAAAGATTTTCAAATAAAGAAGCTGCGCTGCGGTTTGCGCCAGCTTGGCCCTCCGCCCCACCTAGAGCGAGCGCAGCGCCAGCCCAGATCCTCTGCTCGTGGGCACACGGCCCTGGGAAGCCCTGAGGATCGCGAGCCCGTGCACCGTGCTTTAGTGAGCGTCGGCTCTGCGCAGCGCTGTGCTGTAAGCCGAGGCACATGCTTCCCGCGCCCGGGTGCTGCTGAAAAGCAAAAGCCACCTGAGTGGACTTTAAAGCTCTTGCTGGCTTTACGCAGGGACTTGTGAACCGGCGGCATCCTATTCAGCAGGCGGGAGGAGCTGCCGGGAGCTGCACAAAGTGAAGGACTTCTAGAGGCACAAGGGTATGTCCTAGCGAGTACTGGGTGGGTTCAGGCAAGGTCACCTTCCTTGTGACAGCAGGGGTGTCAGGCGGGTCACCTCACGGCTATGACCCTGGTGGTTACAGATGATCTGGATTAAGTTTCCACCCCTGGAGGAGCTTATTTAGGTGTCCAGTCTCGTTGGTTGTAGAGGGACCTGGGGTCATAGGGGGCACCTAGGTTCATAGGGGTACATGGGGTCGCAGGGATCGTCTGGGGTCATGGGGGCCCCTGGAGTGTGGAGGCACCTGGAGTCATAGGGGGGCACCTGGGTTTGTGGGGGGCATCTGGGGTTGTAGGGTCATCTGGGGTCATGGGGCACCTGGGGTCATGGGGAGCACCTGGGGCCATAGGGGTCACCTGGTGCTGTAGTGGGCACCTGAGGTTATAGGGGGCACCTGGAGTGTAGGGGGCACCTGGGGTCATGGGGGGTCATCTGGAGTTGTGGGGGGCACCATTCTGTGACCTTGTAACTGACTCCTAAGGCTTTGGGAGTCCCAAGAATGGAGACCTGTGTAGGTTGAAAGCCTGTCACCCATTAGGGAGCAGCCCTGATGCCCCAAAGGCCACGGAACCCCATGTGTCTGTGCTGCTCTGTCCCTATAGTCTTTCTGCTGTGACAACAGGCTCAGGCCAGGCAGGCCTGTCTTTGGGGATTAGAATTGTGTGTTTCTGAGGTGACCGTCCCTCTCCTTCCTTTGGCCTCACTGCTTTGGGTCTGTGTCCGGGCGTGCAGGTCAGGGAGGTGTTTGCTCTCATCGAGCCCCCGTTATTACTCCTGCAGAACATGGGGTCCTGGCCATCATATAACTAGAACATAAAGTACAAAAGGAGATCCCTTCTCCCTTCGGATTTCTCAGGTGTAGACGGCCTCGCAGGTCATTCAGGACTGCCCCAGGTTAGAAGTGCGCTACCTGTCTGCAAGGTGTGGGGAGGGGGAGGGTTGCACAGCATTGAGGGAGGGCCGTGCTGTCTCTTTGACCTGCCTGGTGGATTCCCCAAGCTCCCTGATGGGGGGAAGAAGTGGCTTGGCGGCCTTCGGAGATGACTGGCAGCAGCGGCCTCTCGCTCTGAGGGACATTGGTTTTCCCACACCATCTGCTGAGCTGGTGATCCTGGTAGGTGGCAGAGACAGTGCCAGTGCCCCCACTGGCCCCCAGGAGGGGATTGTGGTGACCTATGCAGTACGCAGTAGCCTGACCTGAACAGGTGGTTACCGCTTGCCCCGGGCTCCTCTCTGTGTAGGAACAGAGATCTGTTATCTGATCTCTGATTAGAGAAGGAAGCACCAACTTTAACCTTTTGGATCCCGGCTCTTCCCGTGTCTCCTCAGTGACACACCATCATTATCGTACTTGACACCAGGGTTCCTGCTGCCGCTGGACCTCCCCGGCTCCCCACGTGCCTGACTGGTTGAAGGGAGAGCCCCAGACAGACGGCACCTCCGGGGCAGGGAGGGGGGCGCTGGCCAGGCTCACGCAAAGTCTGGCCCATGCGTTCTGGCCTCCCCGGCGAGCCAGGGGACATCTCCATGTGCAGGCTGCATCCCAGACTTGCTACAGCAGAGTCCCTGGGGTTCCCGCGTGCAGCTGGGGTTGGAAGCACTGACCCCCCCTCAGGATGACGGCCTTGACTGCGCAGAGGTGTGTTTGCCTGCTGCATCGTACCCCTGCTTTCCTGGGTCCTCACACTCGGCTAGCACCTGCTCAGGACCCAGTGGGTGCTTGGTTTAAGGACTCCTGGTCTGCCTGCCGTGGGCTCCCGAACACATGTCATTAGTCATAGAGGTCACTTGGAGGTGGCACGGAGGATTGGGGGCGCACACCTCTTCGCCATGAGGAAATAACGAATCAAATCTGCGTCATGTCTGGGGATGTGATTCTCATTGGAAATGTCCCCTTTGTGTGTGAGACATGGTTATGTGCACACATGGTGTGTCTCCCGGGGTTTCATGTGTTGCTGTGGATTCTGTGCTCAGGCAGTAGGATCCCCGGGCTTGTGAAAGCGCCGTGCATGGGCCCACCCAGCCCTAGAGCTCCTGACACTACAGGGCTGGGGTGAGCCCCACACTCTGGTGTCTAACACATCCCCCAGGCTCAGGCTGGCCCTGGGCCACACTTTGAGGGCCACTGGCCTTCGCCCCTGTCCTGTCTGCACTGTTGCTCCCAGCTGAGTCGGGGCCAGGGGCTGGTGGTTTCCCTGGGAGTGCCCCCCAGCCCCACGCTGGCCCCCCAAACAGGGCTCCTAAATCTGCCCCATCCGGGGCCTTCTCGAGAACTGTGTGGCCCTTTCCCGACCCTGGGAAACAGTGGGCTTCCCTTTCTGGGCTCCAGGGAGCACCTTTCCCTGCTGGTCTCCTCCACCTCCCTTGGCTATGGCCTTGCTGGATGCCCCTCCAGCATTCTCTGGCCCAGAATATGAGAGTTTTCAGGGGGTCTCAAGTGTGTTGGCTGCCCTTGAACCCAGGGCAGAGGGGGCTGGCTGGAGGTCCCTGAGGAGCCCTGACCAGGGCACTGGGGGCAGGTGGCCCTGCTTTCCTCCCCCTTGTACCAGATCTTTGATCCTAAGAGGGTCTGGTGACCGTGGGTGGACATGATCCCCTCTGGGGTGGGTGTTCCAGGTCAGCACTTGCCCTCTTGACACAGGCGTCTTGAGGAAGATTGGTCATAAAGACACAGCACCACCCACGGGAGGCTCGCTCACCATAATGACCATTATGCACCATTAGTGCATCAGCACTAATTAGCCTGCGTCACACACCAGCCACTCCCACCACCAAGCAGAGGGGTAATGGGGTGCATCCTCCTTCCATAGAGAGCCAGAAGCCTGGGGGGTGGGAGCTGGCTCCATGCCTCACCTGCCTCCTTGGCCTCCCAGCTTGATGGCCCGGTCAGTTTGCAAAACACTCTCCCAGAGGCAGCGGTGAGCAGGCCTTTCTGGCGGCTTCTGCTTGAGGAGCAGGATTTCAGCTCCCCCTCACCCCACCACCAGCCACAGGCTTGACCTCCTCAGCTGCAGAGAAGAGTCTGGGGGGTTGATGGTGGTCCCTGAGGACACACCAGTGAAAAGTGCCATGTGCACTGGAGACCCTGCTCTGTGCCCCTTTATTTAACCGGGGTGGGGGCAAGGGGTCTGATCATTGTGGCATCAATGGTGTCGGTGCCTCCCTCAGGGCCTGGTGTCAGAAGTGCCCAGATACCCCCACTGAGGGACATAGATGAGTCCTCCTGATTCTTGGCCCAGTGTTAATAATCAGCCATCCCCAAATCAGACTGTAAGCCCAGCTCTTGAGCCACCGTCCTCCACTGTTTGGAGGGACACTAACCCTACCCTGCTCTGTGCAGCTGGAGAGCCCCACGGACACACCCTTGGGCAAGAATTTCTTCTTGGGCCGCCAGCCCTTTGCACGCTCCAGCGCCCATGCCAACCTGCGGGAGGTGTCCAGCCGGCTGCTGCTGCCCCCAGGGGAGTACCTGCTGGTGCCATCTACCTTCAAGCCCTTCCAGGACGGGGACTTCTGCTTGAGGGTGTTCTCACAGAAGAAGGCCAAGGCCCTGTGCGCATCCTGTCAAAGCTGCAGTCCCGAGGGGGCTGAGTGCCTGGGTGGGGGGCACAAGTAGCCTGGCAGGTGCAGGGCCCCCTCGCTATTGTGACATGCCTGGCTCAGCTGCTGTATCCCAGAGGGAGTCTGAAACTCCTGGTTCCCATGGGTCCTTCACCCGCTATCCTTGTCCTGCCCCCTTGGGTCTGTAGGACACCAAGCTGTTTGCTTAGAACAGGTCAAGGCTGGAAAGAAGGAGCTCTAGTGACATCTGGGCAAAGGGTTTTCCTCCAGCAGAGATGGCCCTGGGCCCAGGGAGTGGGATTCAGAGGGAGCACCACCGCCTTGGTACATGCCATGCACATGCATCCCACACATGCATACACACTGCACACACCACACACATCCACACCACACACCCTGCACACACATCATACACATACATACATATGCATGTGCACGCCACACACTTACCCTCCCACACCACACACCCCTGCACAACACCATATACAGTGCACACATCCATGCACAGACACTCCATACACATATGCAACCCACATAGATACATGTACACACATCACACACATACACATACAGGCACACACACACCTTGCACACACTGCACATACACACACATGACACCACACACCATGTGCACGTTTTGGCCTGTAGGCCTGCTGGCTCATTGTCCAGTCACAGTGTCTATAGGGATTCACAGAGCTGGGTCCCCAAGGGAGAAGAGAGTGAACGGGTGAGAAAGCAACTCCTACAGGCAGGTCCCCTGGGGGAACATTTCAGATTTCATGAAGGGCCACTGGGCTCGGCAGCTCTCATCTTAGATAGACCCCGGGAGGGTGGGGTGGGGGAGTGAAGGGAGGCTGTGGGTAAAAATTCAGTTTGTGTGTTTGGTGCTAGTAGTGATTGAGGGTCTGGGGAGGGGAGCCAGTCTGTCAGAAGAGTAAAATACTTCCTGAAAGTACCTGGCCATTAGCCGTACTGTTTACTGACTGTTTTGTCTTTTCTCTCCTTGCTTTGTGTTTCAGGGAGTTGGGGGATGGGGTAGCTGGAAACCCACATGAGGTAAGAAATCTTTCAGAACAGCCCGCTCGCAGAGCAGGCATTCATGGTTTCTTGTTGATTTGTAAAAGTTCTTTATATATTAAGGATGATAACATTTTATTCCTCAGGGCTACAACATGGCTCTGGCCTTTCTCAATGAAGAGGAGACAGCCACAGGGGGGCCCAGGGAGGGGCCGTCGGTCCCCCACATCCGTGGGCGGGACCCTCAGACAGAGCGGGCCTGTGTGCTTGGGCGGTTCTGTGTAGGACTGAGAAGGCTGTGGGAGGGAGAGGTTAGACCCCCGCTCTCAGGTAGATGTGCAGCTTTCAGGGGCAGATGGTGGAAGCCCATGAGGGGTGGAAGCCATGGGGGGGAAACCCATGAGGGGAAGTTCATCCAGAGATGCCAGAGATGGATCTGGAGCTGTGTACATGGGGTGTAGGTGTGCTGGGGCGAGCACCCGGTCGGGGTGCCGTGGAGGGGCGAGTTCAGGGCCAATGCTGGGGGAAGCAGTGTGCCGAATGTGGCTTCCTTCACCCACCTGTGTCCTCAGCCTGCCGTCCTCCATCCCGGGTGGTGCATGGGGAGGCAGCACACAAAGGGGCTGCTCCCTGAGGGATCATGTGGCGGCTGCAGGTTGGGGTCCCTGGCTGAGTGAGGTGGGGGGACGTGCTGTGTCCTTGGTTCCTATTCCTGCAGGTGCACAAGAAGCTCTGGGGTTCATTCATTCAGTGTTATTTTAACTCCAGTAAATATATGTATACAATGTCTCTTAGCTCAGTTGAGCCTGGGCTTCAGGTCACGAGCTTACTGGACAGAATTGTCTGTCCCAGCCAGATGGCGCACGGCTGTGCCCAGCAGCGGCCCTGCCCAGGTCAGCACGACACTGGCCCCGCAGGCGCTTTCTGGGCTGGCGACTCCTGAGGATGGAGCCGCCCCGTCCCCACCCAGCTGTGGGTAGAGGCCCAGCCTCCTCTCCGACATTTCTCTCACCGTTGGCGTCAGAAAGGCCCGTGTGCCCGAGTGGAGGGCGTGGATCTGAGCCTGCAATTAGGTGGTAGGAACTATCCTTCTGATCTCTTTTCTCTTTTCTGGTTTCTGTTAAATCAACCAAAGGCTGGCCCTAGGCCCCCATGCACCCAGTTGGTAGAAGGTCGTTCCTGGTCAATGGTGGAGGCTCCCTGTCTCCCCCTCCTAAGTCTCGGGGTTTCCTGAAGCTCCCATCGTTCTGCAGGAAGACTTTTCCTGCGGCAGGTGCTCACAGGCCCTGCTCCCGGGCCGCCCCAGGGCTTCTGCATGAGGTCTGGGGCTCCGACCCTTTGTGAACTAGTTGCTTCCAGGCCTAGCTCCCAGCCTCCCCTTGTGAGGTCCCGCAGAGACATGCAAGGTTCCCAGGATCCTGGGGCCCCCAGGCTGGTGCTCACATACCCACAGGGGAACGGCATATTCAGGGGACTCAGGACTCAGAACATGGGGCACCCACAATGCCACAGCTACAAGGCAGATCCCTTTGTGGCAGAAGCACTCGTGCTCTCTGAGCACAGCCGTGAAGTCCACGCAGGAAGCCCTTGAGAACGAGAGCCACCCCGCGTTCACCACTGCATCTCAGACACAGGACTGTCCCTGCCACATGCTGGCGTCCAACAAATCTCTCGAAAGGAATTGGCACTGAGGTTCCACCCACTCCACCACTCAAACACCTCTCCCGTTCCTGTGGTCTCGTGCAAATCTCCTGTGTGCAGTGCTACTGCCTGGGGGCAGAGTGCCTGCCGTGCACTGGTGTGTGCGCACATCCAGTTTTTGTTGTTTTGTTATTTTTGTTATGTGGTTTGTAATTTTACACGCCTTGCCCCAGTTTAATAAAATCTTACCCTATGTCCAGAGTCTGGATGTCCCACTAGACTCTGGCAGGTGGTGTATCGTGTTATAGGAACAAGACGAGGTGTTTATTCTGCAGCACCTCTTGAAAGTCATGTACGTGCGATGACAAGTATTTATCATTTTTCTTCTAAAAAGTGCAGGTGTGTTCTTGGATTGGCTCATCGTGTGTGCGAGCGGTAGGGTAGACATCGCTGTCGCCACGTTGTGGATGAGGAGGCGCCCAAGGGTGCAGGTGCAATCAGGCCAAGAGCACGTGCTCGGGTTGTTGGACTGAAGGGGAAGGAGTGCATGGGCTACCATTTGGTCTGGCTCCAAAACCTCCTGGCCCGTGGTTCCAGTCTGTTACTTAACACCTTTAAACCTCGGTTTCTGCGTGTGTATAGTATGGAGGGTAGTGAGACCCTCTCCTCAGAACAGTCCTGAGTAGTAAATGAGTTAATCCATGCAAAGTGCCTGGGTCGTGAGCATCCATCAAACTTTGTACTCCTGTTTGCGCTGTGTCACCAGGCTGTGTTGGGCCTTTGGTGCTTTTCCAAGCAATGGTTGTAGACAACAGACTTGGCTTTCTGGGAACTCTCTGGGCCATGTGGGAGGCCTGTGACATTGGGGCAGAGCCTTTGTTGGGCTGGGGAAGTCTCTGGACAGATCGTTAATGATTTGTAATTTTTTAAAAAATATTTTATTTATTTATTCATGAGAGACAGAGAGAAAGAGAGAGGCAGGGACACAGGCAGAGGGAGAAGCAGGCTCTATGTGGGGATCCCAATGCAGGACTTGATCCCAGGACCTCAGGGTCACACCCGGAGCTGAAAGCAGATGCTCAACCACTGAGCCATCCAGGCGTCCCTGATTTGTAATTTTGACCGGACTTTGATACATATCAGCGGGCTTCTGCTTCTCTGAGGGGCCCCTGGAGCAGGCCTTGTCATTGAGCCATGAGTGAGGGCAGGGTCCTGGGAGCGGGGGCTGAAGCTGTGGAGGGTCCTCCAGTATCTGAACTCCCACTTCTGCTACTTCTGCGAGGCCGTGACCCCAACTATGTTAGAATCTGTGTGTATCTGAGAGTCTGATGAATGCTAAGAAAACACACACTGATGCAATTTCTGGGGCTCACAGACTCCCAGAGGGTCTCTGAGGGGCCCACAGGCCAGACAGAGATTCTCTGAAATCCACTCAGGGCTGGCATGATCACCTTCCCCTCAGAGAGGGAGCCAATGCCTGTACGTGGCGGCAGGTGTGTGGTAGGGACGGAGTGGTGGGTGTGAAAGGTCCTTCATTCTCCCTGCGCACCCCCTAACTCCTAATTGTGCTCTCTGCAGCCACACCCCAGCGAGGTGGACCAGGAGGACAGCCGGTTTGGGAGCCTGCTAGGGACACTTGCAAGGAAGGTAGGTGAGGCCATGGGCGGGACGGTGTCCCTTCAGATTCTATTTTCCGGGGTCTCTGTAAGCACGAAGGATGAGGGCACTGCCCCTCCCTACCCAGCCCCTCCTGTCCTGACTCTTGTCTCCTCCTGCCCTGAGGGCACAGTGACAGGCCCAAGTCAGGTACTAGCAGTGTGTGGTGTGTGTGGTGCTTATGGACTTGGGTGTGTTGAACTTCCAGGCCTGTGTGCCCAAAAGTCACAGCAGACTCAGGACTGTGAGTGGCCCCCTAAGCACCATGAATGTGTCGTCTCTACTGAGATGTACCACGGAGCCTTAGGTGGGTCTCAGTCCGGCTGCTGCAGCAAGTACAGGAAAGAGGCTGCAAACCACAGACACTTGCTTCTCCAGGATCCAGGGGCTGGATGTTCAAGGCCTGGGGGCCAGGGACCAGGGGCCGCAGAGCCTCCCTGTGGGCTGGGGAGAGAGGGGCAAGGGGCCTCTGGGGACCTTCATGAGGGCACTGACCCCTCTGGGGGCTCCAGCCTGCGGGCGCCTCACTGGGCTCAGGCTCCAGCACAGAGATTTGGGGGCACAAACATTGGGTCCTTGTTGCCTTGGCTGCCGAGGGTCTTAGTGATCAAGAACATCAAGAATGACAAACAAATAGCCTGTGTCCATCGTCACTAGGCACCTGTCTCCCCTGCCTGGCCATGTGGGGCCGCGGGTCACTCCCTCTCCCTGCTGTGTGGTCCCAGAGCCAGCCACATATGCCCTCCAGGGGGTCAGGCCGAGGGCTGAACACGGACCCTCAACATCCTGCCCTTCCTGCAGGCAAGGGGGTAGACTCTTTGTCCACAGGCTGTGCACAGGGTCCTGGGGTCTGAGTCTGGGTGCCCGGGTGACTGGCTGGTGAGGCCACTGTACAGACAGTAAGGAGGAGACACAGTACACACGGGCACTTGGAACCAGACCCTAGCCCAGTGCTCTTCTCTGCACCTTGTATGCCTCCTGCCTGAGGCCTGTCCCCATGTGAGAGTTGAAGGCAAACCTCTCCTATGGCTCAGCATTTATCCCAGGTGCACTCAGGAACCTTCCCCAATGTCTCCACTTCTGGTGTGAGGGCTTCTGTGTGGGATGCCACCGGGGAGCAGGTGCTTTGGGGCGAGACTGTGTTAGGTGTCCAATCCCAGTGGCTGGATGGTGGCTTTGAACACGGTAGCTGTGAACCCCGAGGAACCACATCACGATGTATTGTGTTGTTCATGGTGTTTACACGCTCACAAAACCACCATCAGCCCCAGCTCCTGGTCCCACACCTCGTCACACTCCTGCCCGGCTGTGGGGGACCCTGGGGAAGAGGAGAACTAGAGGTTCTGAGGTAGTCCCGGGACCCTTGGACCTGCTGTCTGGTCCACATCAACCTCACACCCTGAAAACTTGTTGGGACCTGGCGTAACTCGCATTTGGGTTCCTTTTTCCAGGATTCTGAGATCGGTGCCAATGAACTCAGGACGATTCTGAATGAAGTGTTTTCCAAAGGTACATTCTTCCTCAAGCTTTCCAGAAAGTTCCTGGGAGTCTGGGAGAGGTGCAGGGTGCAGGGTGTGGGGTGTAGGGTGGTGAATGAAGGGGGCAAGGGAGGCCAGGAGAGAGCTGTCAGGCCCTCGAGAGACAGGCTGGGGCTGAGCAGGGAGCAGGCCCTGGCCTTACGGTCTCTGCTCTCTGCTCCAGCCCTGGTTTTTGCTGGGAAGGGGTGAGAGGAGAGGGGGCAGCTGCAGGTGTAGGCCCGGTGAGGAGGAGGCTGCGAGGCTCCAAGCAGGTGCCTGCCGTTGAGCGAGTAGTGTGCCACGGCTGTCCTAGGAGCCTGCATTTAGACCCGGCTCCGCCCCTTCTGGTCCACGGTCTTGCACAAATTATTCCACTTCTCTGGGCCTCTGCTTCCTGACCTACAAATTGGGGATGCTGATTGTCTCACCACATGGGGTGATTCTGAGGAGAGGTGTGTGGGCTTGGAGCGCGCAGCACCTGCACAGTCGGCGGTCCTGCTCTGGGTGGCCCGCATACCAGGTGCTGTGCTAGGGACTCGTGCTACCCCACTTTACTCCCAGCCGGTCCTCGGGGCAAGTGTGTTACGGTTTCATTCCCACTGATGGGGGAGGGACTGGGGCTCAGAGGTCAGCCAGCTGGGCCGCCTGGGGCCTGGTGAGCCGCAGAGCGGGAGCCCAGGCCGCGCACCTGCTGCCCAGAGGTTCTGTCCGTCTTCCAAGGACCCTGACTCCCACCCTCTTTTCCATCTGAATGTTCAGAAACAGACATAAAATTCTGTGGCTTCGACATCGACACTTGCAGGGGGATGGTCAGCTTGATGGACGTATCCTTTTGCGTGTTGCTATATTTTCCCTTCCCCTGATTTTGATGTATCCTGACCTTCCCCAGTGAGGGTGGAGGGGATGGGAAGGGGCCTCCTTGGCCTGGAGCTTGAGGCTGCAGTGCTAAGGCCACCTCCTTTCACTCCTGCTCCTCCGGGACCTCTATCTCCATCTGCCCCGTGGAGGCGGAGGCTGCGTGACTGTTTCAGACCCATTAATCCAGAGACAGCAGATGCACAGCGCCTGTGCCTCTCTCCTGTGGGTCCCGCCTGGCTCCCACCAGGCTGCCCTCCCTCTGTCTCCTCCCCCTCCCCTCCCCTTCCCTTCTCCTCTCCCTTCTCATCTATCTCCTCCCCTCTCTCTCCTCTCCCCTCCTCTCTCTCTTCTCACCTATCCCCTCCCTTCCCTCTCCTCCCCCTCCCCTCCCCATCTCTCCCCTCCCCCTCCATGTCTGGTCTGTCTCCTGAAGTAACACAGCCCTCTCAAAGCCACTACCTCTAGTTTAGAGTTATCACACAAGAAAAAACCAATTTGTTCTGTCTGACCCAATCTAACCCTCACTTTACACTGAAGAACATGTAAGAGAGTGTGGAAGGAATGGGGAGGCTGGGTGGGGTGTTCTAGGTGGCAGGTACCATGTAAGTGAGGGCCCAGAGGGAGAATGATCCGTGCCTAGGGTGAGGCCAGGTCACCGTCCTCCATAGTGTGGACAGTGAAGGTGATTTCTTGGAAAAATGGAGGTTTGGAGGGTTCTCCTCCGTGTGAGGATGAGGCCTGAGGCCTCTGGGCAGGGGGCATGACTTTGGTTTGCACGGCAGTCATGTTGGGGGTTCTGTAAAGCTCACATGTGTTGATCCCCTAGGGTGTCAGTGATGGAGAGACAGCACTATCCCTGTGGTCCAGAGCCACAGACGCCAGGGTCTTCAGCCCCATGACCCTCTGAGACCAGCGTGCTTAATAACTTAATTCCTGGGCCAAAAAGAAGGGTTATGTATTGATTCACTTTGCTGCAAAATCCCCTGATTTCTGGATCATCTGAAGCTTACCAGCGATGTTGCTATGATTTGGGAGCTGTTAGGCTTGTGCTCCCTGCAGCTCCTCACTGTCTATCCCACCATCTGGTTGGTGTGGGTGATGGTTCCGAACCAGGATGTGCAACAGACGGCCACGTAGACTTTGGTGAAAATGACCCTTGATCAAGACACAATTCTCATATCTTACCACAGGTCCATTCAAGGGGCAGCTTGATGGGTTTTTATAAATTCACTATGGTGAATTTTGGCAAATATCACCCATTTTAGAGCATTTTCATCACCCCAAAGCAGGTCCCTGCACCCACATTAGCAGTCTCTCCCCATTTCCCCGACCACTGCCCTACACACGCTGATCTGCCTTCTGTGTGCACAGGCTCGCTACCCTGGAGAGCTCACTTACGTGGACCAATGTGTCATGTGGCCCTTTATGTCTGAGCTTTCCACTCGGCACCGTAGTTCAAGTGTGTTAGTGCTTCCTTGTCCGTGGATTAGTAACACGGTTGCTTGCATCCCGCTGCTGGAGATAAGATGCCGACTCAGCTGGTGTGGGACAGAGCAGGGTCGTCGTGGGCCCTTCCATCTGGCGCAGGGCCCCCGTGTTGTGGGAAGTACTCTAGAACACACAGGAATCCAGGTTCTGGTCTTAGAACTTTCTTGGTGTATAAACTTGCAGAGAAGTTAGTCTATGCTCTGAACTTCCATTTCAAGTCTTGGAACGTGGGGTGACAAGATGCAGCCCCTATGGTCGCTGAGCCACGGGCAGGGAGACCCAGAGCACCAGTTCCCTTGGTGGATGGGCGGATGGTTCCTGTCAAGTCGGGGTTTGAGGCTGTGGTATGTCCCACACTTGGTGTGGATCATGGACACAGGAACACATACTTTTTTTTAAAAAAATTATTTTTTACATATTTTTAAAATTTAAATTCAATTAATGATCATATAATGTACTATTGATTTCAGGGGTAGAGGTCAATGATTGATCAGTCTTATATAACACCCAGTGCTCATCCCATCACGTGCCCTCCTTCATGCCCAATCCCCAGGTACCTATCCCCCCACCCTCTCCAGTGGCCCTGTTTGTTTCCTGTGATTAAGAGTCTCTTATGGTTTGTCTCCCTCTCTGATTTCACCATGTTTTATTTCTTCCTCTCTCGCCCTAGGATCCTCTGTTTTGTTTCTTAAATTCCTTGTGTAAGTGAGATCATAAGGAACGTACATTTTCTTAAAGGAAGAGGTGTACGCTCTTGGGTGTTTGGCTTGTTGGACAAGGTGGGAGGGACGATCTGTCTCACAGTTTTGTGCCTGTAACACACTGGTGGTTATTGATTAGTTGTGATTATGGAGAAAAGGTGCGTTTAGAGCCTTCACTCCACAAGGGTATGGACAGTGCAAAACCAGATCCCCATCATCTAGCGCAGGGCTCCGTTAACACCAGTAGAGTGTTGGCTGGAGGGAGAGGCCCCCAGAACCCCTCAGGGCTGAGCAGTGGTCTGCAAGCCAGCCATGTCCCTGTAGGAGCTCTGAGCCCCTTCGTGGCCTGCTGAAAAATGCAGACCCTGCAGCTGAGAATCCCAATCTCATACTCCTAGAGTCTTTTCTGTGAATATATGTCAGTCTCACCAATGAGTTATTTCAATTACCAGTCATGGAGATTTCAATCTGGAAGTGACCCTCCAGCTCTCCTAGGCCAGCCTCTCAACCACCAGAGTGCCCTGGGGGCTGAATCTGAGGAATGACCTGCTCCGAGGTCTCTGGGCTGGTGACCAGGCCTTGTCTCTGCACCTGCTCTCACAGGGTTGCCGTCAAGGGACCCTGACTCTTTCATCTTAATTTGAATTGGTTTCCCATCACCCTTCCCTCTGTGATCCTGGGTAGTGGGGTTCCTGCTAACTGCGGACATGACGTGGGGTGTGTGGGCACTCTCTGTGGTCACAAGAGAATCCGTGTGGGCCGGGGCGTGTGGGTGTGTTGGCCTTTACCATGCCTAGAGCAGCGGCACGGGCCTCCTAGGGCTGGCGGAACTCAGGACACTGTGGCTGAAGCTTCGCAAGTACCTGGTAATGCTTCTCTCCCCGTGGGCGCCCTCTGGGCTCTTGTCCCTCCTTGTCTTGTTTCCCACCCAGTCAGACCAGAATCCGAAATATTCAAACCCAGCACAAAAGCCGGATGCATAGTTCAGGGGGGACGAGGGGGCACCTGTGCTGAGCCCTTCACGGAAGCCCTGCTGTTTAGTCCCATGCTCCTCTTTGTTCTGGAAACTTCTCGGGAGGAGTTAGGGAGGTATCTTTCTCTCAGGGAAGCAGTGGGTGGAGGGCATAGCTCTGGCGGGGCCCCCAGCGGTGTTTTCTCCCTGGAATCTCTGTTCTGCTCCAGGAGATCTACCGGGAGACCAATGACAACCACTCGGGGAGCATTGACACCCATGAGATGAGGACGGCCCTTAGGAACGCAGGTGAGGACGCGTCCTGCAGATAAGGTTTCCACCTGGATGTGCTCATTTTAAATACTCTGAATGGTAAGGTGGCAAATGATCGTCCGCGGTAGCTCTCTCCTGTGGACACCGACATGATGGCCTGGGCGCCTTCCCTAGCCACATGTTGCCGGGTCCTTTCCCAAGGACCTTGCTGCTCCTGTGGGGGTGCCAGGCAGGAGAGGTCCGGCCCCAGTTTCTCTGCCTTTTCTCGCTGTGGCAAACACCACACGCAGCTGGTGTGGGAGCCTCACTTGGCGCCAGGACAGAGGCTGACCCTAATGGGGGGTATCCGCAAGGATGGCGACAGGGCAGACAGAGGCTCTAGCGTCCCGTGGTGGTGGCCTGGCTGCGTCAGCCCTGAGCCTCACACACACAGAGCCGAGTCCTCTATGCCACCGTGACCCAGGTACTCCGATGCAGGTTTCATGCTCAGCACCCAGGTGCAGCAGACCGTCGCCCTGCGGTATGCGGACAGCAGACTCAGCATCGACTTCGATGACTTCGTGGCCTGCGTGACCCGCCTGGAGTCCCTCTTCAGTGAGTTGCTCTGTCCCTTGGCCCCACTCATTCCACTGCAGGACAGTGGCAGAGCCAGGCAGGCCCCCGGAGGGAGGCGAGGCACAGCTGGCCACGCCCAAGGTCAGAGGCTGCCCTTTCTTGAAGACTCAACACGCTGCCATGTCAGTTGTTCACCAGTGATGTTGGCTGGTGGTCACGGCCATGCTGAGTGAGTCCTGCCCACAGCTCTCAAATGTCTGTTATTGTCTGTTCACATCTGTGCCTCCACAGGGATCATGGGCTGAGCCTGTGTCACCTCCCGGGAGGGGCTGGGTCACTGGGCTGTGGGGGTTCCTCAGGGCAGGGAGAGGCGATCCTAACAGGGAAAGGCGGGGCTGCCAGAGATGGAGCTGAGAGAGTGGTTTACCCACCAAGGGGGAACCACAGTCTGTGCATAGCGCATCGCCCCCCCCCCCCCCCGCCCCTGCCCCCGTGGAGAGAATGACATTCTAGAGCTGCAGGGGGTGGAGATGGTGGCGGGGAGCATCTTCGCTCACAGCAGCACATTCCCCCACTGGGGCAGGGGGACATATGCCCCCAAATCCACATGAAGTGCTCAATCTACATGGAGCTTCTCAAGTATCCCTGCAGCCAGGCAGGAGCTGGAGGTCAGGGAAGGGGGCTTGTGGGGGACAGGTGGTCACAGGCAGCTCTCTGGCAGTTCTGAGTCTCATTTCATTCCACTTCTGGTTCCAGAGCTGTTTAGGCTCCTGGACAAGGACCAACGTGGCACCGTCCGGCTCTCCCTGGCTGAGGTAGACCGCTGGGGTTCTGGAGAACTGCTTGTTGATGGGGCTTGGCTTCTGAGGCTTGTTCTCAGTGACCTGTCTCACTTCCGCGGGCAACTGTGCATGTTCTCGGGCCGGCCCTGCGGGGAGAGTGTGACAGCCCTGTGGTCTTCCCAACACTCGTGTTGGTTATTACTTTGAAGATAAAGCTGCAGCTGCATTTCAGATCGTATTGGGATGCCAGCCCTTGCTAATTTTTTAAAAGATTTTATTTATTTATTCATGAGAGGCAGAGAGAGAGAGAGAGAGAGAGAGAGAGAGAGAGAGAGGCAGAGACACAGGCAGAGGGAGAAGCAGGCTCCTCGCAGGGAGCCCAACGTGGGAGTCGATCCCGGGACTCCAGGATCACTCCCTGGGCTGAAGGCAATGCTAAACCGCTGAGCCACCCGGGCTGCCCTAACCCTTGCATATTTGAATGGGATTGTGGGCGGTGGGTTCAGTTTAGTGTCTGACTTCTGGGAGCAGATGTCTTAGATTAATTAACATAGAGAAGGTGATCAGAAACCAGGAACCACGGGGGGTGGGGTGATGTATGTCCAGTGACCTGCGGAAGGTTCCTGGAGGCAAGCAGCTGGGCTACAGCATCAACCCTGAAATCAAGGGTGTGCCTATGTATATACACAGGCACACACGTTTTCTGAAGTCCCTCCTAGGTCCTAAGCCACCTGTCTCTAGGGCTCATCAGGGTCACTTAACTTGTCTGAGTTAAGCACTTCCAGATGCTTGCTGGAGCTTGGCTGCAGCACAGGCCATGCAGAGCTCACCCTGCTGTCCTTCTGTTGCAGTGGCTGTGCTGTGTGTTGGTCTGACCCAGGTTGTGGCCGCTGGTGTCGCTCCCTGCCAGCCTGCCGGCCACCTCCCCCTACTTTCACAATTCTGCAAGTGAGGACCCCTGAGTGGCAGTCATTGATGGTTTCCCTCTTCCCTGCCCGCCGCTGTTCTGGGGGTCCCTGCCTGGCCAACCTGCGCAGTCTGGGGGCCCAGCCTCTCGTTCAGCAGCATTTGAGCTGACCCAGAGCCCAGCAGAAGTCATTAAAATCTGGTCCCAATGGTCCTTGGTTTTGTCTGGTGATGTGCAACGTGGGAAGGGGCTGCCTTTCATGCTTTAGGAAAGAAGTTTTGGAAAAAAGACGGCTGGAGCTGCTGAGGTGGAGGTGTGGGCGGGTTTCTGGGGCGGGTGGGGGAGGTGGTCACGGGGGAGCTGCCTTTGGGTCCACAGGAAGGAGCGTCTCTAGTCCTCGCAGGGTGGGTGGGGGTGGGCTGCTCGCTGCCCTTCCGAAGAGGAGGGGCCTGCCTCCTTCAGTGGTGGCCCAGGAAGTCAGCGCCTGCTGAACCGGAGGTGGGTCCTCCCCGCTGGACACCAGCATCTTCGGGTTGTTAAAAAGGTGGAGGCTGAGCCACTGTGTGTCCTAACAGCTGCTGCGTGTCCTTATAGGCAGACGGGATGGAGCTGGCTTCCCCAGTGGCCTTGGAAAGGTGGGGGTGACACACTCAGCCTGCTCGGCCTGCTGTGACAGGCCACAGACAGGGGTCGTTTCTCACCATCTGGGGGCCGGGTGTCCAGATCCGAATGTGGGTGGCAGGCTCTGGGGAGGGGCCCTGGGTGGTGCTTGCCTGGTGGAGAGCAAGAGGGGCTCTCACAAGGGTGCAGATCCCACCGCCGAGCTCATGGAATCCTAGTTTCCTCCTGCCACCTTGCCTCCTACAACTGCTGCTTGGAGTCGGGCTTCACACAGGAACGTGAGGGGGACACACAGCCCCTCACAGGGAGCTACTGACAGAAACCACGTACTCGCCTTGGTCTCTGAGAGTCCGGCCAAGGATTTGTCCACTTCCAGAGCTAGATGTACAACGTTCTTCGGAGCCTGATGCCCAGTAGGACCAAACACTGGCTCTCCTGGGGCCCAACCTAACACCTAAGACACTTAGCCACGCAGGCGCCTGCAAAAAAAAAAAAAAAAAAAAAAAGGAATCTTTGGGGCACCCGGTTGCTCAGTGGTTGAGTGTCTGCCTTTGGGTCAGGTTGGGATCCTGGGGTCCTGGGATCAAGTCCTACATTGGGCTCCTCAAAGGGAACCTGCAGCTCCCTCTGCCTGTGTCTTTGCCTCTCTCTGTGTCTCTCATGAATAAATAAATAAAATCTTAAAAAAAATAACACAGACACGATGCCAACATGATCACAACCCAACATGACGAGGGGGGCAATTCACAGACCCTGGCTGAGTTGGATAGATCTTCACATTCCATCTTGTGTGTGGTGATGAAAGCAGAGACTCTGGTTTCTTCCACTTTGTCTGTTTTATTGTGTTTTTACTGACACATGGACTTTGTGCCTTTTATTTTTCTTCTTTGCTATTTATATGAGGTTGGACAGCTCATGGAAACACGTGGCTTTCATACCACGTTGGAACATCTGGGTCACCAAATGTCTGTGAGGCTCGCTGAACATAACTGAGCACCTACTATGTGCAGGGAAGCAGATGGAGGTGATCCTGGCCCTTGGATGAGTCTCTACAGCCTCAGGACAGAGACTGTGGTAGAGACAGGGGGCTCTGACACGAAGCGGCAGGCACAGGTGGACACAGGAGAGGGAGCTGCGAGGGCACAAGTGAAGGGTACAGGCTTACAGTGGCCACAGTCCGGCAGAGACAGGAATCACAGCAGTTGTCTGAAAAGAAATAATGAAATGTAACAAATCATTAACCTGTATTAGGTTATAACCAGTAATAACATGCATCACAAGAGCACTGAGATGCGCCAGGAGGCAGCCGCGGCTTCGTGTAGGGCCAAGTGGGCAACAGGACCACATGGGAGCCATCAAAGCCTGGAGACTTGGTGTCGTGACCTGGGGGTGGGAGCCGTGGGAGGGGAGCCCCTGCCGCGGTGAGGCCCCACAAGTGCGATCCCCTGCGGCCAGCGCTCTTGTAGGCAGAACCCGATGTGGATGCTGGTGGCCACTGGCACGGCAGACACGGACCCCAGGGGCTCATCCTGTAGACCAGAGAGTTGCTTGATCATCACCGAGGTTTGAGTGGCCACAGATATCAGGCACCCCTAGCTCTGGGGCGCAGTGGTGGATAGAACCGCAGAATGGCTGTTTGTGTGCCAGTGGCTTGAGGGGAGCAGGCAATAAGCAGAGGCAAGCAAGGGAGACCGTATCTTCAGGGCCCAGGTGCAGAGAAATAAAGCAAGGAAACAGGAGGCCGTGTGCCGGTGCAAGCAGCCAGCGCCAGGGTTCGGCCTCAGATGAGAAGGTCCGTACCCCCAGGTGCGGACAGATGTAGGCCTGTTCCCTTGTCTGCAGGGGAGGGGGGGCGAGGGGCGCTCTGTGGTGCTCTGAACCCAGCATTCTGTGTCTGGGCAATTATAGGGTCTGGAAGAAGCAGCTCCTGGATTGATGGAAGTGGCAACCTGGGCCTGGTCCGCCCGTAGGTCTTGGAGGACAGTGGGAGCACGCATGACAGGGTCCCTACGGGCGGGCAATTTCCATGAACTCACCCCTGTTTGGCCTTCCCTCGCCAGCTAACAATAATAGCTAACGGTGGCTGAGTTTTTCTAAATTCCAGAATTTCTGTGAAACGGGTCATGCATCACTTCATTCCATCCCCGAGGCTCCGGCTCTGCTGCTCACAGGCCGTGTGGCCTAGGGCCACCTGGTTATTGCTTCACTTTCTCTCCCTAAATTTTCTTACTTGAAAATGGGAATAATTATCGTACTTACCCCATGGGGTTGTCTTTGGCATGAAATGAATTGGTGCACGTGTTCAGAACAGCACGTGGCAAACGCTCCACAGGAGAGTCCCCTTCCTGGCTGCAGAGCCTCGCCATGGGCTCTCCTGGTGGAGAGAGGGGCCAGGGGGCTCTGGGGCCCTTCACGAGGGCACTGAACCCCACGGGGGCTCTAGCCTCAGGGCCTGGTCACTGCCACGGGTGCCTCCTCCTGAGCCATCTCAGTGGGCACAGGGATTTGTGGCACAGACATTCGGTCCCTGGTGCTGGCCAAGGAGGAACTCGAACTGTGACTGTTTGCCCGAGTCCACTGCCATGCCCTGGGTTCCTGGGATGGTTCTCTTGTAGTCTGGTCCCCACCCCAGAGGTTTGCTCCCCATCCCCTTCCCTTTGGGCACGGTTTCCAGATGTTCTTTGAGACTCTCCAATGGAGAGTGAAGCAGTTGATGCGTGAACTATTAACTAACAGATTTCCCAGGGAACCGAAGGGAGAGGATGACGCCGACCAGGCAGGAGGCCCTTCCTATGAGACGTCCTGGGACCTAGGCCCAGCTGCCCAAGCGCAGTCCCTTCCCCGATGCCCCCGGTCTCCTGGGTGCCTGCCTGGGCCAGGATGGTGAGCCTGTCTGCACCCAGCACACACGTACTGGACTAATGAGCTCTGCCAACATGATAATCAGCAGGAATGGAAAAGTCAACCAGAGCTAATTCTTTCTGGAGTGCGGTGTAATTAATTTGAAATGGCTTATTTTCTGAAATGATAAAGATGAGGCTAATGTTATGTCCCCAGATGACAGCCTATTAGTTGTTTGCTGCCTTCAGGTGAAGCAGCGAAGCCAGAGGGTCCCGAGGGTGGACCTGTGGGCCACACGCACGGGGCCTCCCTGGCTCCCTGGCCCTGCCTTGCGCCTGAGGCTGACTGCTTCTCTCCAGGACAGCACAGCGCTGGTGCCCGCTGCCCTCACCGCCACAGCCCTGCACATAAGCCCCCAGCGGCCAGGTGTCCTGTTCTCCATGTGGCAGGTGCCCCTCTGAGGCTGCAGGGTCGCGGACGAGCGGCTGACAGAAGAAGAGCTGGCTCCGTGGTTGAACTCGAGTGTCTTACCGTCAGACCAGGCAGCATCTCCTGGCCTGGATTTCAATCCCATCCCAACCTCTGTCCACCTGGACCAGCAATGCCTGCCTTGTGCCACCGCTCTCTCCCTTCCTGGCTTCAGGGAAGTTAGGGACAGCATTCTGCCCCAGAGCCAAGAGGGCACAGCTTGCCCTCTTTCTCCTTTGCCTCTGCTTTTATTTTTTATTTTTTTAAAAAAGATTTTATTTATTTATTCGTGAAAGACACAAGGAGAGAGGCAGAGACACAGGCAGATGGAGAAGCAGGCTCCATGCAAGGAGCCCAACGCAGAACTTGATCCTGGGACTCCAGGATCATGCCCTGGGCCAAAGGCAGGTGCTAAACCACTGAGCCACCCAGGGATCCCTTTACCTCTGCTTTTAACTCATGCCTTTTGGTCTTCTGTGTCTCATATGGCTGTGAAGGCATCCCAGAATGGAGGATGTATTTATTTGTATAGGTGTGGTGAGGGTCAGGTGACTGTCGCAGAGTGCAGAGCACTCACTGTCCCTGACCCGGCCCCGTTGTCTGCATCCCATCCCTGCTAGGGGAGGGCCATGCCGGGACCACCAGGAAGGGGTGAAGGAAGTTGTGAGCAGAGTCTGGGGAGCCAAGGTCTGAGCTGAATCGACGGTCCAAGAGCCGGGTCGCCGGGGAGCGGGTGGACCGGGTGGAGCCGAGGAGTGGAGTGGGGAGCAGGCGAGGCTGGCGATCCGGAGGCTGGAGTGCTGGTGTGGAGGAGCAGCAATGGGGGGTGCAGCAATGCTCACAGTGGGGGTGGAGTCAGAATGGGGGGGCCCTGCTTGGTAACTACAGGCCTGGGTATATGAGGGGGTGTCTGGGCCCCAGGACCCTGGCAGAGCCCAGAGACACCACCCATGCTCCTGCTCAGCCTCAGTTCAGCAAGTGTCCTCAACATCGCCCACGGCCAAACACAAGTGATGAGTGGAGGAGGGTCTGGCTGGCTCAGTGATCTGGCGTCGGGTGTGTGAGCCTTGATCTCTGGGTCATGAGTTTGAGTCCCACGTAGGATGCGGAGCTTACTTAAGTAAATAAATCAGTAATCTCAAACAATGAGAAGAGTTCCTAGGAATCTCTGGGAAGCATGACTATTGGGCCCTGTCCCTTGAGCCTGTCGGGCTCTGACGTACCCGGCAGAGAGGTGGAGAGACTTCCTGCCCATAACACAAGTGGGCATCTCAATGGCAAGATAATTCTCTCTTTGGGCAGAAGTTTAGTTTTCTCAAACCTGATAAAAATGAAGTATTAGAAACTGCAGAGGTACAGAAAATTTAGACAAAATTCCAGAAAAAAGTCAGGACAAGTGTGAGTAAAAGCCCAGGTGCTGTGTTGGGTGGACATTGAAGCTCCGTCTCGCAGTGGGCAGCCCGACAGAGCCCCAGTGTCCTCACTTGTGAAACGGGAGCAGGTGGATACTGCTGGGCTGTGAAGGGAGACCCGCGGTATGGCACGTCCAGCTCCAGGGTCAGGGATAGGCGCCGAGACACGCCCTGGTGTCAGCTCTCCTACGTCAGGCCAGAGTCCATCCAGACATCCAGGGAGGTGTTCTTCTGGTGGCTTCCTGACCCCAGGAAGGCACTTAGCCGTCGCCTTTGCCCTGGTAATGTCAAGAACCCGTTCCTCTCTTCTGCTCCCTTCTCATAGCCCAGAGTCGCCAGGTTGATGAAAAATCCAGCCTCCAAGAGCACCATCGGAAGCAAAATGTAAAACATTTCGAAGTAAATTCTATTATGTTTAAAAATATTATGTGACGAGGGACACATTTACATAGAATTCATCAAATTGATCATTTTAAATACAGACGAGTTAGACAAAATCTCTTTTTCTTGGGGGCCTGGGGGGCCCAGTCTATTAAGCATCTGACTCTTGGTGTCAGCTCAGGTTGTGAACTCTTCGGTCCTGAGATTGCACCCCACATCAGGCTCCTCGCTCAGCACAGAGTCTGCCTGAGATTCTCTATTCCTTTGCCCTTGGCTCTCTCTTTTTAAAAATAAATCATTAAAAAAAAAAACTCTATTTCTCTATTTCCTCATATCTATAGGAGATTTCCGGAATACAACCTGCCCTGGTAGCAGGGGCTCATGCCCTGGCTTGGTATTTATTAAGTGCTGCATTTGGGGGTCTGGGCTGCATCATAGGTTGTTGGGGTGGGGGTAGGATGCTTTGAGGGGGGACTTTTGCATGAGTTATTTTGCTCAGGGGCAGGATGTGCATGCAGGAAGGGGCATCGGGGTGTGGGGTGTGATGCTGGCCTTGGGAAGGTGACCTTGTACAGCCTGCAGCCTTTCCAGAAGAGCCGCCCACTGCCCTGGGGTCAGGGAGGCGAGGGCCTAGGGGGTGGGATGCCAGAGCCTAGCCCCCAGGGAGCAGAAGAGTGCTCCTGGCTGCAGGAGCCCCGGGGGAGCTCAGGTCACAGCCCAGCGTCCTTGGAGAAGCCACCCCTCCAATGTGTTCTGGGCTGTGACCTTGGGAAAGAAGATATCTTGTCTTTTTTTTTTTTGAGATCTTGGCTTCTTAAGACTGCTTAGTTGCTCACCAGTTGTCCATCTCATTTCCAGCATCCAGATTTTAAGTTTTTTTTCCTAAAAAAAAAAAAAAATCCCTCTGAGGGCAAGGAGTATATGAGAAATCTGTATACTTTCCCCTAATTTTGCTGCACCAAGACGGGAGAGGGGGAAGCAGAGCCTGTTGTAGACACCGGTGAGGGGGGCCAGGGCGCCAAAGTTGGAAACTGAGATTGAATTGAGGGAGCACTGGTCCCAGCTGACTCTTGGCTGTTATATTTCTTCACTTGTGTTGAGCACCTACCATGTGCAGGACACCAGGCTGCGGCTGCAGGGAAGAGCAGCCCTGGTTATTGGTTTTAGGCTCCTGAGCTGACAACCTTGCCCAGCATCCTTCGTCCTTGCTGGTGGAGATCACCACACGAGACAGAGGTGAGAGGCCACCTGCTTACTGTCCAGGCGTCCGTGCGTGCACATGGGGCCCGGCCCTAATGAAGGCCAGCATGGAAGTCTCCCAGGAACTTCTGGAAAAGACTTTGTCCCTGACAAAAGAGAAATGTGGAGAGGCTGTCCCTCCTTCACATGGTGTGGCTGCTCCAGGTGGGTGGTTGGCTGCTGTGGAGCCACGCGGAAGACACTGGGCAGGCCTGAGGATGGCGGAGTGGGGCGCGGCGTGGCAGGAATTAACAACTGGAACTCTGCGTGTCTCCAGGGTGCATGACATGAGACGACAAATGTCCTCGCTGCTGAGAGCATCCTAAACATATGTGTGGAAAATAGGATCTTTCCGCTTTGGGGTCAGCTCCCATCAGGGCTGCCCCACCGCGCCTGGCTGGGCCTCGCGTGCAAGTAGATGTGTGCTTGGGAACGGTTACACAAGTCCTAACCCTCTGGTGATTTCCTCAGTTTCTGAGTTATTTCAACTGCATCCCACCCACCATAGTTCCAAGCACTGCAGACTTTCTTCTTTTTTGACAAGTGGGAAATGGCTGGAAATCACCGTGAGGGTGATGTGTTTTTAAAGTGGAGTAAACACAGTATGTTTGTTACCAGATGGGCACTCAGCCTTTACCTTCTCTGCCCTAATTGCAGAGTTTGGAGATAGGGCGCCCTCTTGAGGAGCCCATGTATGGCCCCACCTGAACATCAGGCCATACAGTTGTGTCTCTTACCCCTGAAAACGGAGCCTTCATCCCTCCACGGGTTGGTTGGATCCTAGCAGTTACAGGTGTGACGGGAGGTCAGGATGCTGCCTGTGGCCCTCGTGGACAGTGTGCACACCCTTCACAGGAGGAGTGTTTGCAGGACTTCCCGGAACTCCCAGAACGTACTCTCGGGAGTCTCAAACCCCTCATCCCCAGGGAGGGCGTCACGGATTGGTGATGGGCAAGTGGGAAGTGTGTTTCCAGGGAGCTTTCCGGGGGTGTGTGTGGTGGCCATGGGGCAGCTGTCCCTCCTGCTCTGGCTCTCTCCTCTTCAGGAGCTCCAGAAGCTGGTTCGCAGACCCTCCTGTTTGCAGAGTGCTGGGTATGGTTTAGCTCTGCATCCTCCAGTGTGGCGGCAGATGCATGTGCTCCAGCCAACACGCAGTCCTCCAGTGGGTTCTGTCTCCAGGGACCACAGCGCAGCTGGGACCACTCACAGTGCTTCCTGGAGTTTTCAGACTCTGGGCATCATGACAACTCCCTGATCTTCATGGTGACAGACCTGAGAATCCGAGGGCTGGTGCAGGCCTCCCCAGTCTCTCTCCTCTGGCCCTTCTGAGCACTGACCAGGGTCAGTTCCTGCCAAAGTTACCCAACTGGGAATTGAGAGGACACAACCCACAGAGCCCCAACTTCTGATGCCAGTTCCAAGCTCAGAGCTTCCAAAAACTGCCTTGGGCTTGATAATTCACTGGAAGGAACATTATCACATTTATGGTCTATTATGGGAATAGGATTTAGATTAAAATCAGCCAAAGGAAGAGATGCAGGTGCAGAGCCCCGATGGTCCCAAGTGTGGAGTGTCTGTTCTCCTCCCCACGGAGTCAGGAACGCTTCCTCTTGTGCATGGGGTACAGGCATGGGACCCAGTGCGGAGTCCTATACCCTGGGGCCTAGACCCCACCCAGGCCTGGAGCTGGGCACATCCCCCCACCCTGAGACGCAGAAGCACCCACTGTCCCCCTCGGGCGTGGGGTCCCTCTCCAGGCACCTCCATCCCAGAGGAAGTGCCTCTACGCCTAGCCAGGGTGGCCAGTGTTTTCCCCTCTGTTACTGTATCCTTTCTCCTTTGGGTCGAGACTGTGCCAAAGTGAATTAAATGAAGAAGCCTGTCCAGTTGGGTTGAGGAATTAGGCAGGAAGTCAGGCTATGGGAGCATTTGTTTTTAACAGAATATTAATTCAGCGTTTCAGTGGTGCACAGGCTGGGCAATGGGTCTGATCACTTGGAGGCCTGAGTGGGCACCGTGTTCATAACGTGGTCATTGTTTCCTGTTCAAGGCATTTGTAGTACAGCCAGTGAGCCTTCTTGCCCAGTTACCGTGGTAAATGAGAAGTTATTCCAAAAGGATCTTATCTGGTCCAATAAATGGACGAAATTATTGAATTGATCAACATCTAAATTAAAAAGTCTGAGAAATAGGGGATCCCTGGGTGGCTCAGCGGTTTAGCGCCTGCCTTTGGCCCAGGGCGCGATCCTGGAGTCCCAGGATCGAGTCCCACGTTGGGCTCCTGGCATGGAGCCTGCTTCTCCCTCTGCCTGTGTCTCTGCCTCTCTCTCTCTCTCTCTCTCTCTCTCTCTCTATGTCTATCATAAAAAAATAAATAAATCTTAAAAAAAAAAGTCTGAGAAATAGAGTTCAAATTAATCAGCTTGCAAACAGCCACCCCCATGGATAAGATAACATTCTGGCAATGGCCAGTGATTGGAGATGGATTATTATTATTATTACTACTACTACTATTTATATTTTATTTTTGAAGACATACTATTTTTGAACAATAATAGTGTTTTCACAACAGCTCCTGTCTGAGGAATTCCAAGCTGTCCCAGCAATGTTCATTACTTAAAGACTTTCTGAGATGGAAGCAGACAGTCACTGCTTCCTGGGGCTTTCTGATTAGGACGTGGCACTGAGGGGTAGGTGGGACCTCTGCCCACTGAGCAGGTGCAGGGAGTGGGATGCGGAGCTGTGTGCAGTTCTCTCACCCTGCTCCTCCTGGGCACACAAA